TGTAATAAATGAGAAGTGTTAACAAAGTGTCTCGGTTTTGGCTTCCGTGTTTGTACGATCGATCGTTATATTGTTAGCAGCGATAAGATCCCGGGATCCGCGACTCGATTTTAGAATGACAAATTGCATATCATATAGAAGTAGGAAATCTAATGGTGAACAGGAAATGGGCAGAGCTATCTGATATTTAAAAGAGTTTTAAATAAGCGGAAACTGTGAGAGCTCCTCCTTCACACATTTACCGATTGTCTTACATTATCCTATATTATAGTACTTTTCACTCACCTTGTTTCCATGGATTGGCCGGTTCCAGATAGCCAGTGACCAACGCGTTGTCCGGAAATGAGACACGACGGGGTATGGCAACCAGCAACGAGCTGTCCGACGATTTCCGCTGCAATATACTTGGCGCAGTGGACAGGACAACACCTCTCATGGGCAGCCCAACCACCACCCCTGCCGCGGCGGGTGTCAGGGAGGAGTCCGGGCACATCGTCGAGCTGGGATTGGAGACCAGTGAATCGGTGCGCCATACCGCTGTCTGCTTTGCATCGTGGTAGCTCTTTATTTTTTGTCTTTGGTGCGTACGCATCTGTACATCGACTGCGGGCCCGGTCCGCGCCACCGATGACAATGGCTGCTGCTGAGCAGTCGCAGCCGCAGCTGCAGCTGCACTTGCAGCACTAGACACATCAGCTGTTTCAGCTAATTCGGTTCTCTCGGCCACAGGTGACAGCAGCAACAACGATGTCGATGGTGGAGCTGTCAGTGCTTGGCCCTCGGCTGCTGCTTCTGGCGATGCTGCTGTTGCGGCGGGGGGCGGCGAAGAAACTGCCTCTGCTGCTACTGTCACTGTTTCCGTTACACGGGCCGCCACATTTGTGGCGGCTGCTGTTGTCGCAAAGTGCGTTGAAATTGTTGGCTCCGTTTCATGGCCCGTTGTTGTTGTAGCTGTTGCTGTTGGTGTTGTTGTTGCTGTTGTTGTTGTTGGCTCTGCATTATCTTGAGTGTTGTTGTGCAGCATTGTTGCTAATCGTTTTTGTTGCCACCGCTAGCTAGTAGTTGCTGTTTTTATCGAATGGTTGTTGATTGCTCTACTGATGGCTCGAACTTGTAGTTTTTCCGATATCTATCATCTAAAATCACTTTGTTTATGTACAGTGTGTGTGTGGCACCACCACCTTTAGTGTCCTCCGTGTGGGGCGTCGTGGGTGTGTGTGTGTGCGCGCGCTTCTTCTATGTGACGTTTTGTTTTTACATTTTCGGGAGTTTTTAATCAATCTGAAGGCTTATTTGAAACACACTGCAAAATGAATACAAAATAAACACACAATTCTTTATTCTACGCACGATTCGGTTTCGAGTCAACGCGACATTATTTTGCTCGACATCGTCAAACGCTTGGGCATAATCAGAGAAGAGTCAACTTTACAGAAAACAAAACAAACTAAAAATTTTCCGCTCAAAAATTTCCACCGCTAACGGCACAGTGGAACTAGTAGCAAGAATTTTGGTCACACTTTTTGGCTATTTGATTTTTTAAATATTTAAATATTTTATTGTGTTTTTCTTTGTATTTAATTATTAGTTTCTATTAAGTTTGTTTTTTGTTTTACCACGACACTTCACTTTGTACGCATTATCGCCCACTGTACAATGTAATGTTTCAAAACAAAAGGCAAACGAATACAATAGAAAGAGACAACGAGAGAATGAGTGAGAGGGTGTGAACGTTAGCTCTCCTCCTCCCACCGCTCACAAAAAAATGCAAAAAAACATTACCTAATTGTTATTGTATTTGTTTGCTTTTGCGTTTGCAAAGAGAGCAGTGCGATTTTTGTCTCTGTTATACTTCCCCTTCTTTTCCAATATTTTTTCTCACGCGTTTGTTTCGGTGTGTGTGTGTATGGTGGCTATGTATGTGTGTAACACGCGCCCTGTTGCATGCAAAACTCAAATTAAAAGACAATTGCAACAATAACAAGCACGCTCGTGTTACTTTATTCTGTTATTGTTGTTTTTGTTGTGGTTCACTTCACTTTTCGCAGAATTTGGTTTTAGAATAAATACAAAAATTACGTCACTGTTTGCGTGGGAAACTGCCTGGAGTTTTCGATTTTAAATGGATCGTATTTATCAGCGCAGTAGTCGATTCGATATCTTCGATTTAATATATAATTTTATACTTTCTCACAGCACATTTTTGTTGCACTTGAGTTTCTACACTTTGGCATTTAATGGCCAACTCTGGGTTTGGCGCATTTTTATACACATACTCGTCGTATCCCTCCCCACCCTCTCTATGTTTCACGATCTGGACAACTTTCGGGCCGAACGGATTGGATTTTTATTTTGTTTTTTTTTTTTTTTGACTGCATACCACGAGATTATCAATTATTAACACAGCATGGCGTGCATTTCAGAGCATTTAACCATTTAACCAACAACTATCCAACAGCAAAACAAACATGAAAAACAGTGTGACGACCCTCAGCAATATACCAAAATATGCCGTCTCATTTTCAAAATATACCGTAAATATACTGACGAATTAAAATTCTATTTTACATATTCCTCGTTTTTGATCTTCCGTGGAATATTCTCAGCTATATAGCACATTTAGCCATGCCCACATAATTTTATACGATTTATGAATAAATTTTCTACTTGACTGGCACTGTTTTTCTACCACGCGCGATTGCTTTGATTGTTTTCGATAATAAATCGAGCCCAGAAGATATCGTTTCGACGAACATTTTTGACGATTTTCATTGGTCAAAAACCGTAATCGTTTTGACGATTTTATTGTCCGAAAACTAAAATCACGTCGTTTCCGTTTCAAAACCGCTTCAGTTACCAAAACCGGTTCCGTTCATGTGCGATATATTTGAACCTGTGGAACAGGGTACCCAACCACATGAAAAAAAAAGTTTATAAGGTTATATTATATGTGGCGTATATATTAAAAGCATCTTACCAATGCCAATTATAATACCGAATGTCTCCAGCTTTCAGCTATTAAAATGGCTCAGCCTGAATGGTTTACTATCCAAAACCAATTTTTGCCGAACAACATTCTGAATCTGCTCTAGTTCCCTGTATATGACTCTCGCGTACATTTCCCGAGGGGCTCACCTTTTCAATGATTAGGAGTGCAGTTCCAATCACCATAAGCCGATTTAAGTATAGTAACTAATGTACATAGTTTAAGAATGGTCAACATTGTGCATTATGCATTGTTGCTACCGATTGAGAGCGAAATAAAGAAACCGTTTCGAAAAATGTTAACATTCCGCTGTTATGTTATCACAAAACGAGGGACATTACATTTTCTGGACTATAAAGTGAGCCCCATCTTTTTTCGATGGTTATTGTTATAGGCTATACTACGGTTTTCAGCCATTTATGTGATGGTCACAAAAGGGGTAAAATATATCACATCATACTTGTATGTTTGCATAACAAGAACAGGCGACGTGTAAACCACACTTACGACCCTTTCCAGTCTGGCAACCTTTCCACGTGTGCTCTCCTCTCTCGACACTCTCATTCTCCCTTAAATACAACATCAAAACAATAAGTATATATGTATATGTATATACATAAGAATGTACATTATACACACACACACTGAATATTTTTGTTTCTAATGATTATTTTATAAGCAGAATGTTGAGCAAACAGCAAAAACCAACTCTTTTTCTCTCTCTCACTGTATTTAGATATTTATATCTCTGTAGGCTAAACACAACACCAACACCAAATATGATGTCAGAAGAACCTTTATCGTACAGGCAATTAAAACTTAAACTGCAAAGTCCAACAAACTTGCACTGATTTTGAGTTTAAGAACGGAGTTTAAGACTATTTACTGGCTTAATTCGCACTAAATTTGATGTTTTTAAAAAAAAAAGTACTACGTCCGAGCCGCGAAACTCCCAGTTAACAGAGTTTTACATGGTAACTACCCGGTAACTACATATCGACAATATATTTATGGAGTATGGGAATTGTTATACCCTATTTCCTTTAAATATTATTAAAATTTTTTTGTGCAAGCTGCTATAAACTTAAAGTAATAATGACTTTTTCTCGTAATGACCTATTCATTAAATTTTAATCTTATATGTATATCTCGATCCCGATACATATTCTCGGTAAGCAAGACCATAAACTGCAAAATTTCGATGAGATAACTTTAAAATGTGGAGACTATTTCAGCATTAGTGCTAAATATACAACAAAAATGCATTATATCGTTCACTGCATTCATTGGAGCCTGGATGCCACAAATTTCATCAATCTCCTGCATAAATACCCTACAAGGATATTTATAAAATTTCCGCGCTGGGAAATTGCTGTTGAAAATAGGGTATGGCCAACAGACAAAACAGTTCAGAAAATGGGACGCCTGCATCATAGTATATTGTCCTCAAAGGATGCCAAGGTGCGGTTTGTACTAGTGTTGGGTAAACATTGCTCATTTTGGCGAACGTGTTCACTTGTTCTTTTTTAGTAAGTGAGTCAACTCACTCATATTGGACACTCACTGTTCATGCACAGATCCCTAAGCACCACAGACTTGCAACTCAAAACAGATTCGCAGTACTTGCACTTGGCTTCTTGGCGTCCAACTTTCTCGAAATAATTAACGACATACTGATTTTTTAAAATATGATCGCAAACATGAGCAACAACTGCCAGAACGCAAAATGCCGTTTGAGGAGCAAAATTGAGCAGTATGTGAGTAGAGAACAAGTGAGTAAAAATGAACTAGTAAGCTAAAAAGAACAGTTTGGAAGGAACATGTTCAGTTGCTCACTTAAGTGAAGAACTCTTTTTTTCACTCCCTCATAAGCAACACAGCACTAGTTCGTACGAGCCTTGAAGTTTACCTTAGTTTATACAACTTTAAACGATGGTTTGCACGATAGGCAGTCTTAACCTGAAGTGTAGTAGAATCGTCACAATTAGGTGGCAACACCACGTAAGCAGCTGGAAAAGCCAACTCAGCTAAAACCAAAATCACTTTCATACACAAAAAATAACCAGCAGCAGAGGAGTTCCAATCTATTTTCAATACAAAAGTGCGCCCCACACACAATGCAAAATGCGGCTGACAAACGAGAACTTGAAACTCCACCCAATGCTGAGGAATTTGGCCATTTTCCTCAGCCTAACAATCTTCATTTGTCTTCCAACGACGTGGGCCGCAGAGACGGCGACTCTCTCGGACAAAAGACTGTGCGCTGACCCAAAATGTGAACGTAAGTAGACAATAAGTGGCCTTTGAGCTCAGTTTGTAATCTACGACAGGGTGCCCGCTTTTTGATTATTTACGGCACCCCAACTGGAAATTGCATAATATAATTTACATGTTTTTCGTTATCCGGCTTTTGTTTTAGAAATCATCTCCTTGGGCACCACCAAGATACTGTACAACTCTGGCGGCAAGGGACTGATCTCCTTCAAAATCAACACCCCAGTGCGCATCTTGTCCAAAAGTGCTGGCACGAATAAGCAGCTCTGGGGCGTGGATATCGGCGGACGTCGTGGCTATGCCAACAAGGATTTCATATTGGAGAACAGGATCATGATAACCGAGAAGGATTTAAAGTATGAAGTGCCAGTGGTTGGACCTGGTAGTCCACCACCCGCCGTGGCACCTGCTGCCACACCACCAGAAGCTCCGCTGAAGGCGACAGAGGTAGAGCCGGCTGTACTTAATGCCTCTGAGTCAGCCGATGAGTTGGCAACGACTACAACCAGCCCGCTTGATGTAAAAGAGGATTCCATTGTCACGAAAAAGGTTGCGGTGGATGACCAACAGGTATCCGATGTTCCAACCGCGTCATCTCAAGTCCTGCAGATGGTAGACGGCACTCAGCTGCCAATGGAGGCAATTCCAGCTGTCACAGAGAGGACTCACGATCAACAGGTCGTCCCACCCACACAGAAATCTCAAACAGCCTCAGCAGCGGTTGACACGAAAGTGCCACAACCGGTGGCCCCAACGATTCAATCGAATCAGTCACAGGAGCAGCAGCAGCAACTAGAGAAAGCAGTCACTGACCAAAATGAGCCGACGCCAGCAGTGACGGAACCTCAAAAGCTACAACAGGTGGAAATTGAACACAAAGACCCACAGGAGGCGGCAGCAACTGAAGCAGCGTCTGCTCCCAAGAAGTCGGAGCCAGAGCCAGTGACAGTGCCACCGGTGGCCATCAACGCTGATATTGACGACGACTCTGATGATTTCGATTACGAGGAGGACGACGACAAAGAAGTCGATCAGTATGATGAACTGAAAATAGATAGCAAAGATAACGAAATATTGAACGAAGTGGCAGACGATAAAAAGCCAATTAATGATAGTGAAACAACCGAACTTAAGCCCAATTTGGTTGAGAAAACGATAGATGGACCCAGTAGTGTAGAGAAACCAAAGGAAGAAGTACCCAAAACTGAAGAGCAAATAGTGGAGCCACAGGCGGCAGCACCCGCAGCGGAGCAGGAGAATAAGCAGCCGATTCCATCTACCCATCAAAACATTGTGCCTGCCACGGAAGCGCCAAAGAATGGCACAACTGAAGGTCAGCTGGAGGAGATAGTTGCAACAAAGCAGGTGCCTGAAACAACGACTCCATTAGTAGAGGAGGTAACCGAAAAGGTAGAAGTGCCAACGATTGAAACGATTGAAGAAACCTCCAAAGAAAATGTCGAACAACCAAAAGCAGTAGAGGTCGAACCACCAAAAGCAGCAGAGATCGGGGATACCACAGAATCACAGCCTCTGGTGTTACCCGAGGCCAGCGCCACGGCCAGTCCCCCCCTACAGGAGGTTTCGCAAGTCGCAACAGAGCCTTCAGTTAGCTTGCCGCCACTTTTCGATAAGCAAAACTTTGCTAATCCAAACGAGTATTATAAAAAATTGCAAGAACAGCAGGAGGCAGTGCATCGGCAACCGAGAGAAACATCCATTGATAATCCAAATGATTATTACAAACAACAGCAAGAGCAGCAGCAGCAGCAGCAACAGCAGCAGCAGCAGCAAGAGCAGCCGCAGCAGCAGCAACAGCAGCAGCAGGAGAAAGTGGAAGAACAACAGCAACAGCAGGAGAAAGTTGAAGAGCAACTGAAACAGCAACAGGAGAAAGTGGAGGAGAAGCAGCCACAGGAACAGCCTGAGCAAACTACACCCACACCCTCCTACGAAGCACCCTATGCAGCAGTGGATGATGAGCCCACGGCAGCACCAACTAGCGAGGAGATATCCACGGAGAACGGTGGAGTTGGTTCGGTGGAACCATTGGCCCTGCCCTCGACAGCAATTCCAGCGTCAGAGGCTTCCATAAGTCCCATAAAAGAGGATGGCGTGGGTGGTGGTGGGGGTCTCTTTGCGACCATTGTCGACACTGTCAACACATTCATCTCTAGTCAGGGATCCAATTCGAAGGTGAATGTGCCATCGGAAAAGAGCAGCGATGAACTGCAACGAATTCTGTATCCGGGCATGGGTGAAAAGCCATCTAGAGGTGAGTGTGTGTCCATTTGTTCTCCTTTGTGAGTGATTGTGATTTACTTCCCTTTGCAGAAGTTCCCCCTGCCGATGTCGATGGCCAGTGTGTCCGGTACCAGGCCAACGATAATGATAATGAACATTGCCATCGCACGATTTCGCTGGACAACTTTGCAGAGGTGCTGGCGGGGAAGCTGGTGGATCACAGCCAGCTGCTGTTGTGCGTGGTCATTGCGGCCGCTTCTTCGCTGTTCTTCATCTTCGGGTACTACTGCTTTTGCAACAGCAGCAAAGAGGGAGCTCTGCTCTCAAAACTGAACCACTTAGAGCGCAGCCTGCTGACATCGCACAAGGAGAATCTCATCATAAAGAACGACCTGATGACCACACGCACCAAACTGGCCAGCATTGAGGACAACTCCTTTGGGTCAAATGACATGGTGGTGGCACTCAAGAAGCAGCTGGAGATTGAGTTGTACGAGAAGGGAAAGCTACAGGAGCAGGTTGTCTCCCTGGAAAGGGTATGCCACATCCGAAAAGAGTTTATTTCTAATTGGAAGGCTTAACCATTTGGTTTTTTTGCCTTTAAAGGATGTGGACAATGCCGCGGAGGCTGGTCTAGAGCTGAACAAAATGCTTTCAGAGGTGTTGGGCAACCAGAGTGGCGATGATGCCTTCATGAGCACCGTTGAGGACTTGCAGCGACAGCTAAACGATCAGGAAAGTGAGTATCTGTTCTGCGTGGACCACCTGCTGTTCAGACTAATGTCCATTCCTCTTGCACAGAGATCATTGTTGACATCAACTCGAGCCTCGCGGAGAAGAGCCGAGAGAATAGTGAGCTGCAATATACTTACACCGAGTCCACGGCGCGTCTGACGAGCGAACTGAAGTCGCTGCAGGAGGATAACTACGAGCTGGATATCGAAAAGTCCAAGCTGAAGACGCGGCTCGAGGAAATCCAAGACGAGAACGAGCAGGAATTGGCCAAGGCCCTGGAGGCTCGCAACTTTGAGATGCAGCGTCTGCAGAGCCAGATCCTCGATCTAACCACCAAGTGGGAGAAGGAGCACAGCGATCTGCAGACCAGTCTAGCCAAGATCGAGGCTCTCGAGGACTGCCTGAAGTCTGTGAAGAAGGATGGCAACCTGAATGTCAACGAGCTAATAAGCTCGGCCAAGACGCGCGGTGAGCTGAACGCGGCCCAGAAGAAGTTTTCCGATCTGCAGGCGAAGCTGGAGCAGGAGCAGGTCCACAAGGGACGACTGGAGAGTCAGCTGAGGCAGTCCAATGTCGATGTGGAGCAGCTGAAGCAGGACTTCAATCAGTCGGAGCGCGACAAGCTGGAGGCGCAGACGCGTCTCGAAGTGCTCTCTGGATACTTTCGGGAAAAGGAAAACGAACTTAAAACGTAAATTATACCAAATAGGAGGAAATAGGAGAAACCATTCATTTATTTCCGTTTCCGTTTTACAGGGAACTCAGCTTGCAGGAGACCAAGTGGATGCAGCATCAGGGCGAGAATACCAGCACCGTGGAGACCCAGACGCTGATGAAGAATGAAATTCAGACGCTCAAGTGAGTCTCGGTCTTACGACTGTCACACACTCTACTTTAATGTTTGCTTTCTGTAGATCTCAAAACGATGAGCTGCGCGCGGAGATCGAGGCACAGATTGCCTCACACAAGGCCCAGATGGGCACACTGGAGAATCGGGCGCACGAGTCCTGGCTGGCGGCGCGTCAGTCGGAGCGACGCTGTGAGGAGGCGCTAGCTGAGGCCGCCGGCCTGCGACGCAAGCTAACCACCATGGCCGTCAGTGGTGAGGCAGCGGCAGTAGACTCCGTCTCCTTCTCGAATGGAGGAGAATCGAAGGCAACCACAGCTCCCTCGCCGCTGCCGCTGCCTTTGCCGGGCTCGCCATTACTAAACATGCCAAATCCACTGCCATTCCTGGCGGCTCCCTTCTCACCATTTATGGGCCTGCCGCCGCCATTCCTGCCGCCAGCAGCCGCTGGTGGAGCACGGCCACCGCCGCTTGGTCGCATGCGTTCCCCGCCACCGGGTATGTCTGCATCGCGCGGACACCGTGATCGGGATCGTGAACGGTACTCGGACTACAGCGACTACGATGACTACGACGACGATGAGGAGGATGATCGCCGCCGCCGGCATAGTGGCAGCTGGGGTCGGGGACGACGCGACTCCTACACGAACTCGCCTCGCACATATCGCTCGCTCTCCCCCTCGGACAGTCGTTACAATTACCGGCACGACACAGAGACGGACTACAGTCCGCCGCCCAGTCCGCGTCCGATGGCGGCGGGACACCGCAACGGTCCGGGACCGGGAGCGGGGGCTGGATCGCGGACCTACAGCGAAGTATGAGAGATGCGGTTTTTTGTACTTCACGGCGGGGTGTTCCGACCAAATCCTACCATCCTACCAAGTATATTATGTACGAGTAGTTGCTTAAACTCAAAACTAGTTCAAATATATTTATTAATCAACGACTATCGAAAAGTGGGGGCTGCGCTACTGGCTCTGGCTCCCGCAGCGAACCCCAAAGCGAACCCGAATCCACAAAACGATCTTGAGGAGAAACAACAACAGCAACTTCCTGCCTCAATGGTGAATGATATCCGAAGAAAATTCAAGCAAATTAAACAGAATGACAAAAACCACAAGAGGTTCTCTTTTTTTGTAAACTATACCATGATTGCATATCCTGTCTCCCATCGGTCACACACGTACGTGGTATATTCATGCTGCAAATGAGAATCCCCCAGAGTGTTCATATTTTGGACGCTAGTTCATATAATAAACTCTCATCGATGTTTGGTATCCACAATGAAACAGTTCTCTGACAAAAATATCACAATGTCATAATTTTCAGTTCATTTTATACACTTTCTTAGTGGTTAAATTAAAAGTTAAGTGGTTTATGTACATGAAAGAGATCGGAATCTACCAAAGACATTACCATAACGTAAATTACAAAAGTAGTTGAACGAAATCCACAAATAATACTTATCCTATTCACGCCTCCAGAGGCAGGAACTCTAGCTCGATGGCTTCGGGAGCTACAGGACTATATTCCAAAGCCTCAAAGAAAATCTTCAATTTGGGATGTTTGAAAAGCTGAAGAACCTAAAGGGGCGAGGGTATGAATAGTGTAGTCGTAGACTTCAGAGAAACAGAAACAGTAGTGTTACTTACCAAATCGTCAGCGCTGGTTTTAAAGCATTGCAGCAGCAGGGGCTGCGTTCGCTTGTCCAAGACTGCACCCATTCTAGCGGCGTCGAACTTGAAAAATACATTGTATAGGATGCAGTGGGACATAGCCAGTCGTTTCAGATGAGGACAAATGGACACCAGGTCCCACAGCTCGTCGGCTGTGTCAAAAATACGCGAATTCTCTAAATGCACTTGCTCCAAAAGCGGGAAGCACAGGATAACTCTTCTGAATTTCACCCAGCTGCAGCCCTCATCATTGATGATAGTCAGATTCCGCAGGTTTCGACACGGCGTCCAGGTTTTGGTGGTCCACAGCCAAATGCTGTCATTGAACGATGCGGAAATAATGTCCTTTCCACGCAACACCGCGATATCCCTGACCAGTTCGCATTCGTGATTGGTAATGATGCGAAGCTTCCGCAGCTTGGGCAGACGCATCAACTGGGGAATCGATTCCTGCTGGACCACCTCCACCTCCAGCTCCTCCAGTTCATTCAGTTTGCTAATGGCCCCCACATATGCCTTCTCCTCCGAACGGCGCCACTGGACGCACAGCACCCGCAGGCGTAGATGCTCGCAAACGTTCTCAATGCATGCGACGCTCAGGTTCCAGCATTGAGCTATGTCCAAGTGCCGAATGTTCCTCATTTGGTAGATGTCGTTGCCTTTGCTCATGCCAGTCAATTTGAGCGACTCCAGATGGGGAAAACAGTTCACGATTATCTTAATATCCGAGTCTTCGTCCCAGTCATCGGTCTCATCTGCCATATAATCCAGAACCCGCATATTTGGGAACACGAGCTTGCTAAATCGCTCCATCTGATCCCCGGGTAGGTAGGTGATCGTCAGATGCTTCATTGTGCCCTTCATGCTTTCCAGAAAGCCATCCAGGGCATGTAGTCTGCCCTCGAAGGTCTCCCTATACAGGCAAGTTTGGGGCATGCGGTGCCAGGAGTAGGCCACTGCCAAACATAAGCGGGTTGTGTCGTCAGTTGCCTGCCACAGCTCCAACTGATCATCAAAATCCAGATACTCTATAATTTTTCTTAAAGCAAATGTTATTTCGATGGCCGCAAATTGCGCGGGAGGATTCTACACTTACAGCAGACAGTCATCATTCAATCTTACAATACTCATCTTGGCGATGTTGTGGCGAGTAGCCGGCACCACGTGGAAAGAGAATATTATTCTGAAGAGTAATCCAAATTACTCTATATTATTACTTTAGCTGATGAAAATAAAAACAAAGCTTTTGGTTGTGTTGCCAGATAGTGTGAGCAAGCATGTCGTAAATAAACTGAAGTGGCTCCACCGTTGGAAATTATTGACCTTGGAATTTGAAAAAAGCGTTAAGAAATTCACATTAAACTTAAAATGAATATTCAAATATATTACATTTATAAATCAAATTGCATTTATAATGTATTGTATGTATGTACAAAATCGCCATTGATATTGATTAATCCCTTCCAATCGATTCAGATTCAATCGATTTCCAGTTTACGGAATGACCCAACAGCCCCAAAAGAGGAGCGATGGCTGTGCCGAACACGATTTCCAAATTCGCGCAATTTTTCATCGGTGCCAAAGTTCTGCGAGGCCTCAAAATACTGGCTATAGCTGGATAGCTTCGCTTCCATGTCCTCACTAATGTCGCCCATGGTGCCACGGGTTCCCCCATACTCCTTGGGTAGGTATTCGCGACTAACTATTTGGAATATGGCATCCGGGTCAGAGCTAACAGAAATCTGAAAGGAATTCGGGAGTAGTCAATGGTAATTTAATCCCGGTAGTACTCGCAACTTACACGACTCTTGATCTTGGCGGGAAAGAAGGATCTCAATGAGTTGAAGCCAGTTTCAAAGGCCGAGGGTACGTTGATAAAGTGTATGCCCTTTTGGCGGGTCGGCATTGCCTCGTCCGCATAGGTCGAGAATTTGCTGAGCAACTGCGGCTGGAGGGCGAACAGATGGGACCCCGTGACGCCAGTCATGTCCATAATCTCCACGTACCCACTAATCGTAGCGTTCTCGTCCTCGAACATCATGATCTCCCCGAACATGGAGCCCAGCCGTATGATGTCCTGGAACTTGTACTTGCTGGTGTCGTAGGAGCCGGCACGAATGATGGTCACGCATGGCCCTGGGTCGTCCGCATCCAGCGGCAGTCGCAGCAGCACTCTGTAATGAATCTCCTCTCTCAGGCCAGTGCCACAGTCTCTCCACCAAAAGCTGATACTCACCCCATCCTTAGGATATCGAGCACCACAGGATCTGTGGCCAGGCGCCGCTCGTTGAACACCTCGGGTATGGAGGATTGTAGCGTGTAAAAGCGATCGAACTTCTCCTTGGCCCGCTCCATGCTAAATTTCGTTCCACGTAGAAACGCCAAGAGGAACCGCTCGTCTGTGCAGGCCCGCAGGTGAGGTTGCTTCAGTACCCACTCCCTGAGGGCCTCAATGTCGTCGGGCACCCGTTGCGGCACTTCATTCAGCTCTTTGATAGCAATCGCCTGCAATGCTGGCTTCAGGGGTCGCAGCGCACTCATCGATCGCTGGGACACTGCCAAATTGATGATGAGTATACGAGTAGACAATGAGGTCTACTTAGAATGCGCCTCGATGGTCCGCTCACGTCCCCGAATATGCTACGGCTGCTAATAAGAATGATAAAACGGTGAAAAATCGTTAATTTCCCTCGTCCATCCGCTATATTCAATACATTTCTCTCCCATACTTACACACGTGCGAAGACTGCTGTGGTTTCTGGTGTTCCAACTGTGAGCGGAAAATGCATATGTTTACCGATTGAAAATAGCTCATCGACTGCCAAACAAAGCTGATATAACATGTGGATGGATGGATTGATGGATGGGGAATCAACGAACTTCATCGAGTTTGCGTTTGCTTTTTCTTTTGCATTTCTTTCGGCCCGGCGCTGATCATAAGCCGATTAAACAATGCACGAAGACATTCATCTATCACAAGGGGCGCTAAGGTGGAAATGCGACTGGAATGGGGATGGGGACGGAAGTCGGCTGGCGCTTGCAGTACGTGTACTCGTATTTCATTATTTTTGTACGTTATGGGTGGCGTTTTGCGATTGATTGTCTTAATTGGCTTTGGATTTATTTTTTGAGTGCATGCGGCTGCGGTTCAGTTGAGGTTTTCCGCTGGCTGGCCCAGATATGAGCTTGTAATCCTATTGATAAAGAAGGTTAATCGAGTGCAATTAATTGAACAAGAATGTCCGCAATAAAATTGATACCATTTACTGCCTGCCCACTGAGAAATTTGAGCATTTCGGATATGAGAATTAGGTGCGAGATTGAATACAAATTTATGGGCGGGATAACGATTAATAGATCATTTTTAAATATTTAAATATTTATTTTAAGTTTAAGTGATAATTTCCTAACGCTATTTTCAAATTCCAAAAATCCATTATTTCCAACGGTGATGCCACATCTATCAATCTAGACATCTGGCAGCACAAACATCTGTTTGTACTAATTTTTGGGAAAGAAAAAAAGTTTGGGGCCCGAAATTTCATGGCAGTTATTGTCACTGGAGCTCGAGCATAAAATCTTAAATTATCTCTACAACATTTTTGCAGGATGGCGAGCGTTCAGAACCCGTTCGCTGCACTGCTCCAAGAGGGCTCGTCGGCCGATGGCGTTTCACATAAGTTGGTTGAGGAGATTCTGCTGTTTTCGCTGAATAAGGAAAGTGGAGGCAATCAAACTCTCTGCCTGGCTGACGTGGTCGTGGATACCAGTGAGGACACGCTGTGCGAGGACCTGGTGGCGCATGCCCTGTTTGAGCGACTAATGCTGAGCAATACCTCGGAATGCCTGCTGGCTGGTGGAGGAGGAAGTGGCAGTGGCGAAGCCTGGGAGACGAACGCCATCACTTACCTTCACGGAGCGTTTGTCAGGAGTGAGCATATGGAGGGCGCAAAGAAAACGGCTAGTTCCAAAATCCAGGAACTGATTTTGAACAATGCCAGTACCTGCATGCGGCAGCCGGACCTGTTTGCCCCCCAGTCGTTCGCCACCCAATGGTTGGAGCTGTTTGAGCAGGCGAGCGAGCATGATGCCAGCACCCAGGAGTTTCTGGTGCGGGTGGCCTGCAAGGTGGTTGAGGAAGATGAGCCGCTCGAAGCTCTCGGAGCACTCAAAGCTATATTTTATCCATTGCTCACGGAACTGCAGAAGCTCGTTGCCAAGGACAACTTGATAACGATCAAGAAGAACGTCTTCTGGATTCTGGGCTTCTTTGTGAAGGACAAGCGGGCAGCTGTCCTGGGAGAGCTCTTGATTGACTACACTACACCCAATCCCAAGGCAAAAGGTTTGGTTTGCTTTTGTCCCTTTGTTGTTTTGTTTTGCATACTTTAACGCCTTCTTGCAGGCGGCGAGTACATGGACACACTCCTGGGTCACCTGCTGTGCATATCGATCTTGCCAAAGACCCAGACTGGCAAATACGAGTTCTTCCAGCAGTTTTCTCTCAATCAAACGGACCCTGCCCTCTGGGGTCTGCTGTCGCATCATCAGCAATCGACTTTTCAGCTCTTCAAGCAGCTGCTCGTCCTGTCGCCCGAAACCAAGAGGAAGACGCTGCAGTGGATCGCGAATTGTTTGGACGCGAATGTGTCGCGTGGACATCTCTGGAGCAGCATGAACTTGAACCTCGAGCAGACAATGTACAGCACGGCGAGCGATGCTTTCATGACCAGCCTGTGTGCGGTTCTCATCCGCCTATGTTCACCCCTGTGTGTGCCCTCGCTGAAGGTAAACCCCTTTGCTTTCACATCCAAAGGTTTCCCTTATTAATGATCGATTGCAGGTGCTGCTGGTGGATCCCACCTACTGCGCTGTGGCCGACAAGGACCGACAGGCGAAGGGTGTGAGCCTGCTGAAGGCCCATGATGAGACCTGTCTGCTGCCCACCGTCGAGGGCGAAGAGCGAGTGACGGCGGAGAAATATAACTTTGTCACGGAGATCTTTTACATGACCCATAAATGCTTCGAGCTGGCGAATCGTCCCTGCATTGAGCGCCTCGGTCGTGTGATGCGCGAGCTGCAGAACACCCAGACGGCCTACGAGGATGTCCTTCGCAGTGATCCCAACAACGATCTGACCAAGAATCTTTTCCGCATGCTGATGGAGCAAATGCAGCAGGTGCTCTCCATAAGGAACACCATTTCCGAGCCCACAAACGACAAGGAAATGCTGAAGTTCTTGGAGGCATCGGCCATTTGGCTAACAGAGGTGGCCCTCTTGCCGCGCGAGAGCTATGAGCAGGCGCTGGACAAGCGAGACTTTGCCCCACAGATCCATCGGAATCTGGAACTGCTCTCGGACACTCCACCCTTTGTGGCACCCTACATGCAGTCAGTGCCGGAGAGTATCATTGATAATATTTCGGCCTACTTGAATTTCTGCAGGCGATTGAATGGCGATCAGTTTATACACATCTATTACTCCGCCCACGACGCCTTCTTCAAAATGATTCTGGTCTTCATGGGCAGCTCTGGCCTCGTAAAAAACCCACATTTGCGGGCCAAATTGGCAGAGGCCCTCGAGTTCCTGCTGCCAACGCAGATCATGAACAGCAATCGGCAGACCTTCGTCACGCATGTCTTTGACAACCATCCGGATCGGCTGAAGGTGGTCCGGAGTCTGCTGAATGTTTTTGTCAGCATCGAGATGACCGGCCAGTCGGTGCAGTTCGAGCAAAAGTTCAACTATCGCCGACCCATGTATGCCATCATGGAATTTCTCTGGACGAAACAGGAGCATGTGCAGTGCTTCCGCGATCTAGCCATCGAGGCGGAGGAGAATATGGAGGCCATTGAGCCGCCGATATTCTTGCGCTTCATCAATTTGCTCATCAATGATGCCATCTTTCTGTTGGACGAGTCGCTGTCGAACCTGGAGCAAATCAAGCAGCTGCAGCAGGCCCAGGATAATGGTGAGTGGAACAGTCTCTCGCAAAACGAACGCCAGCAACAGGTCACCAATCTGCACCACCTGGGCATGCTTGCACGCTTCGACAACATATTGGGACGGGACACCATCAACCTGCTGAAGCTCCTCACCACGGAGATCAAGAGTATATTCTGCCACAACAGTATGGTAGACCGCATTGCGGCCATGCTGAACTACTTTCTGTTGCATTTGGTTGGACCGCGCAAGGAGCGCTTCAAGGTAAAGGACAAGAAGGAGTTCGACTTTGAGCCGGCCCAAACGGTGCTGGAAATCTCGCACATCTACATCAATCTAAGCACCGACGACAGCTTCTGTCTGGCAGTCTCCCAGGACGGTCGCTCCTACAGCGACCAGCTCTTTGGCTTCGCCGAGAACATTCTCATAAGGATCGGCGGGGGCCAGTTGATCGGCGACATGTCCGAGTTTGCGGCCAAGGTCAAGAAAATGGGTGATCAGTACAAGGAGGAGCAAGAGTTGCTGGCCGATGCCCCAGAAGAGTACTTGGATCCGATTATATCCAGCCTGATGACCGATCCCGTCATTCTGCCGAGCTCCAAGGTCACCGTCGACCGTTCCACCATCGCCCGCCACTTGCTGAGCGATCAGACAGATCCCTTCAACCGTGAGCCCCTCACCATGGACAAGGTCAAGTCCAATGAGGCCCTCAAGCTGGAGATCGACCAATGGATCGAGGGCAAGCGTAGTGCGGCACGCTCCAAGAGCTGAGCGAATACTATCTATATAATTGTGCAGGCACAACCAAAGAGTGCGCTCGCTCCAGGGGGAAAAGGGGACAGGAGAGGTCAGGACAGGACAGGATCGGGCTATAGTCAATTTTACATATATTTTCCATTAGGATAATTCCATTTTGCTCATACATTCTTTGTGTATGTAAATCTGTGTACAGTTAGAGTTCTTGAAATTGTATTCTTATTCGCTCTAATTTTATTTACTCTGTTTCGGTTGCATAAATGTTTCTATAATCCCAAGAACTGATTGGACTTTCGCTACTTTCTGTTCTGGAAGGCCTGAAAATGCCGACGACCGATAATGTGCCACACTGTCTCCTGGTAGCTATGTGGCAGGACCTCTTTCACCTTGTGCTCGCTCAAATATGTGAGATGGAAGGCATTGGTCTGCACCTCCGAAAAGCTGTTGGCATCGAGAACATTTGCCACAGCCATTAGTTGCATATGCTTATCGGAGGTGTAGACTACATAGGCCGTCAGCTGATAGGTACTGCCACACGGGTCTTCGTCCGGCATAGAAGCTGGCTGTTATATAGCAAATCTCTACAGCATTCCGCATAATGTACCCACCGTAGATGGTGTTGTGGTTGTTGCGATTCTCTGGAAAGGGCAGCAACACTGTGGACCGCTGGGTGTTCGAAATCCAGCTAAAGTCTGGTTTCTCCACATTCGACCTTTCCCATAGTATATCCGTGCCCCTAGTGCGCATGAACAGCTCGTACATGAGCTTCTGTTCCGGTTCGGTGAGCGGCGTTTTATCCAAGCAGGTGGAGGGCGTGGTTTTCTTTTTTTTCCGCTCTTTGGCCGCCTCCCAATAGATCTTTTCCTGCTCCATGGTCGGCTTTAATGGATTGACGGGAGCAGGGCCGGTATTGGTGGCATTACGTGCCACCATCAGAAAGATGCCTTTGGCGATGGTCTGTTCTTGCTGTCGCACATTGATGGAAATCTCCATGGAACTGGTGCCCGTCCAGGAAACGTGACCCGACAGCATCAGATCTATGTCCGCCTTGGCCTGGACCAGCAACTCCACGCTGTCCACCAGCAGAGTGACGAATGTATACGGCAGAGGGGTGTTCCTCGGCAGTGACGGTAGCTTAACATGACAATGGCATATCCATACTGCGTAAATCGTGCGTAAATCAGCTGAAGTATGCGTACCAAGAAGGAGTTTACTTACTAGCAAGCATGTCCATCTCTTCGATTAGGCGCCCCCCTCGCACCATTCCCAGATAATTGACATGACGCTCACGCACTTTCACATCGGAGCCCAGCGGCAGGACGGCCGTTCTGTACGAGTCCTTCATGCTGCGCTCTGGCAAATCCTCCAGCTTCGGATGGTACTTGAGCAAGCCTGCTCGGCATTTGGAAGAAATTTCAGACCTGGGTACCAGGCGAACAGAAATCAGCAGAAGGTCGCTGGTTTTTTTGTGATTGCACAGTGGCGCCCCCACATGTCCCCGGGGTTTTCTTGTACTAAATTTGCGCGTAGTTTGCTAGTTCACCGCTGATTATAGCGGCGCCACAGATTGACGGTTATTTTTAAACCTATTTTTGATTAAATTACCATAACTCCGCCATTTCTCATCCGATCTGGACGAGATACGTGTCCTCGTAATCAGCATGATGTGCCCCATCGTTTGAACCAATTCAAGGACATCAATTACGATAAGGACATGCCTTTTTAACGGTATTTTGTATTTTGTAATGGGATACGGAAACACCTGCTTCTGATCGGGGAAACATCCTTGATGCAGTCCTTAACAAGGATCAAGGATATTTTTTACGTTTTAGCCGGATCTGGGCTTTTCCGTATCGGAAACATTTCCTTAGAGGACCACGATTATTTTTTGCTTTAATGCATATTTAGAAAGAAAAACAAGTGGGCTATGGTTTGGTTTTTATTAGTTTGAATGCCTTTTATTTATTGCTTTGTCAAGTCCTTCTTAAATACATACTAAACAACTTTGTTTTATTTCTGCGAGAACCAATTAAATCTGCAAACCTGTTCTCAGGATCAAGTGATATATACAAATACATGTTTGCTTAGTATTATTTACACAAAAATGTAGTGTTTTTGGTATGCATATAGTCTGACGTTGAGTTAAGCAGCTTGAACTAGCGGAAAGGGGGAAGGGGCAATTAATCAATCTAAAGATTTATGTTAGCTAAATGCGAAATGCAAAATCATCTTCATCTGACTTAGGTTTTGGTTTTCATTCTCAACTCGTTTTTTTTTGTACAGAAATTTAACTAATTCAAGTACATATATATGTTAGCTAACCTTTATTTGCTCTCAATCACTTACACACAAATCATTAAAACCTAATTCGAAAAGCTACAAAATGATTTTCTCTCTTTTTATTTGGGGGCAGAACAAATTTAACAATCTTTAAATCTTTTTATCAATAAAGCCGTAAGCAAGATTAGTTGCTCTCATTGGATCAACACGTAGAATATGTCTGACAATTATAGTTAGTTAAGTACAATACTGTGATGTTCCGTTTGAATTGCTTTATAAAAAGTGAGGATGCGCTGCAGCTTAGTAGGAAATTCTTTGCTTATTTTTTGGGGCCAACAAATTCCTCGTATTCACGATCATATAAAGCAGTGTTACTTGGTATTTTTGTTTATTGCAAGCTGCAGGATATACCTTTGTATGTATTGTATGTGGGCTTTAGATATCCTTGTAAGTGGCTCAAATGCTAGATAACTGAATGTCGCTCCCATAAGCTCAGATATATGATGTATCTTTTATGTAGATAGTGGTAAAGCTTGGCTTGGTATCGATAGATAGAGTTCAAAAGGTTAACCAACTTGCTGCTGGTATTTATGATTTGATTGTGGGATTTATACGAATACGAATACGAGTACGAATATGCTTTTTGTGGTGTTTCAGACAACAAGTGGAGGGCCCTACTGATATATGGATCTTCTGGCTATGCCATCGTACAGACACGCCCGCTAACTACTCGAAGATTAACTGAATATCTCGACTAACTAGGCGAGGGCACTACATCATCATATCCTAAGATGGAAAGACAGATTTTGATGTGATTATAGGTTGTTTAGATATTGATTTGGATAAATTCTCTTCTTTGAGATTGTAGTGCCCTCGATGAGAAATATGTATAGACTTTGCAGAACAATGCATAGAAGCCGCTTGTAAGCAATTGAGGGAAGGAGCAACCTTCACATCCGCGTGCTCTCCAGCCCACACCCCAGGGCGTCGATATATAATGAGGAATGTGGAGGCGTCACGCTGCCACTTTTCCTGGGCTTGCTGTTGCTGCTGCTGATGCTGGCCTTTAATCAACTCGCTGGCGTGGTGGGGGTCAGCAGCTCATCATCATTCAGCTTGGCGAGAGCTGCCGGTGAGCCGACATCGATGGTGTTCACCCGATTACCACCATCGGCTGCGGAAGGCAGCTTGATGAACTCGCTGTCCGTGTGCACCGGCATGATGATGCAGACGAAGCTCTGGCCCATTTGCGAGTCCCGCGGATGCAGCGTCACGGGATGGAACTTGTCAGTCTGGCCCTCGGTGTAGGTCTGCAGGCGCTGATAGATCTCCGGGTAGTGCTTGCGTAGCAGCACTCCTCGACGCGACAGAATGTCCAGGATGTTTGACAGGATGAGCTCCCGACTCCCAGGAACTGAACGCAGCCCGGGATTGAAGGTGAGTATGAGGATTTCAGTGCGTTCTGGTACGGCCACCACGGCTAGGGGATGTTGCATGGCTTGCTGCTGTATCTCTAGCTCTGCCAGGACATTTTTACAGAGCTTCAGCTTGGTACAGCGCGAGACCAGCTGCCGCTCCCTGCGCACGGGAGCCTGCCCCATTCCTGGCGCCTCGGAGACCACGCAGATGGCCACGTAGATCAGCATCTTGGACTCCGGCTTGTACTCCGTACATCAAGTCCGGCCACCGCACATAGGAGGCCTCTCCCATGCACTGGAATCCGTTCTTGATAAATCCCTCGGCGGCCTTTGCGTTGCGAAAGAGGACGCGCACCACGCCCCGTCCCTGGGAGATGTTACGTTTGCGGGCCAGCAGACTGTGTCGCTGCGAGTCGAGATCGTCCTTGCAGGTGGCTAGCACCTGGCGGCACAGGTTGGAGGCACGCGAGTGAAGGCACGCCTTCCGATGCTTCTCCCAGTGGGCGCGCCGACACTCACGTGAACAGTATAGATGGGTACAATTGTGGCATGATTTGTACAGCTTCTTGGCATCGGCGTGCGAGGCACTCTGCTCGCATTTGGTGTTCCGGCAGCGGATCTGTAGTCCCGGCTCCCCATTGAGTTGGCTACCGCTTCCACAGAACTTGTCCGTGTTCGCAGAGTCGCCCAACGAGACGCGCCTGCTCCCGCTGCTGGCATTTGTTTGCTGATTTGCTGTTGTGGATCCGATTCCTACTGCTCCTGCTTGGGTCTGTTGTGTCTGTTGCTGTTTCTTCTGGCTGGGGGCGTCTCCCTCGCTGCGACGCCGCAGTCCTTGCTGTTCGGCAGCCGATAGCACCTCCAGCGTTTGGCGACTAGCTGAATAACCCGCTGCGGAAAAGAGGGAAAAGATGGAGGATTAGTATTACAATTTTGACAACACCCTGAGATCACTCTATAGTTCAACAATAATAAACAACAAAGATCATTCAATGGAGGTAGTCATCCAACATGCTGGACGGAACGATATGGGGGCGTAGAATTGTTCATGTAGTTTCTTTTTCTCAGTGTAATTATGAATAACTAGACTGTAAAGATGAATCGATATGTTGGTTATAGAAACTACACTAAAAATGAACTACACTAGCTGGACTTCGAACACCCAGCGGTCCCACAGTGTTGCTGCCCTTTCCAGAGAATCGCAACAACCACAACACCATCTACGGTGGGTACATTATGCGGAATGCTGTCGAGATTTGCTATATAACAGCCAGCTTCTATGCCGGACGAAGACCCGTGTGGCAGTACCTATCGGATGTGGCCTTTTTCCAGCCCGTTCACGTCACTTCCATTCTCTAGTATTCGCTCAGCTCTTGGAGCGTGCCGCACTACGCTTGCCCTCGATCCATTGGTCGATCTCCAGCTTGAGGGCCTCATTGGACTTGACCTTGTCCATGGTGAGGGGCTCACGGTTGAAGGGATCTGTCTGATCGCTCAGCAAGTGGCGGGCGATGGTGGACCGGTCGACGGTGACCTTGGAGCTGGGCAGAATGACGGGATCGGTCATCAGGCTGGATATAATCGGATCCAAGTACTCCTCTGGGGCATCGGTCAGCAACTCTTGCTCCTCCTTGTACTGATTCCCCATTTTCTTGACCTTGGCTGCAAACTCGGACATGTCGCTGATCAACTGACCCCGCCGATCGTTATGAGAATGTTCTCGGCGAAGCCAAAGAGCTGGTCGCTGTAGGAGCGACCGTCCTGGGAGACGGCCAGACAGAAGCTGTCGTCGGTGCTTAGATTGATGTAGATGTGCGAGATTTCCAGCATCGTTTGGGCCGGCTCAAAGTCGAACTCCTTCTTGTCCTTTACCTTGAAGCGCTCCTTGCGCGGTCCAACCAAATGCAACAGAAAGTAGTTCAGCATGGCCGCAATGCGGTCTACCATACTGTTGTGGCAGAATATACTTTTGATCTCCGTGGTGAGGATATTTAAAACTAGAGAAATATTGAAATAATATGGTCGAATAATAATATGAATCATCTGAAATGTAAATAACAAAACAGTTTCGGAAGAAACCACTCTTCCTCATCAGCGATCTTTCATTTTCCAAATATGGAAGATGTGGTTGATCGTACATTATGAGTATACTTAAATGTATGATCCCTTCCAGTACAAATATATACCGGTATAACAATAATATTCCAGTACAAATATATACTGGTACAACAATAATATTCCAGTAATGACTCATATACTGGCGTTAAAAAAATTCTTCCAGTGAGGTAGTTATCTGGTTCAACATTTATCCGTTCCAGTCAACTATTCATCTGGCTGCTTAATATTTGTCTATACCATATACCTTGTAAATTTTCCGAAGTATTCTTTCGGTGCAGCCGTATTTCGAGGACAAGTTGTTTCTCAAGTGCGTATAGCACCACAGGCATGGATAAAACATCTTGGCATATTGTATTGCTTTTTCATTTGCAAAATTGCCATCTGCAATTACTGCCAACAATTTGTTATGCTCTTCAAGCATGTTTCCTGCGATTTTACTTAGCAATTGTTTAGCAGCGATATATATAACGCCGGTCCCCAATGTTTTGTGTTCGGTTGCTGCCACCGTAACATGTATAGTTTTATATTTGCTCATATCAGCTGTCAAAGCAGCAAAAACTAAAATTTTAATTTTTTTAACAGAGCATTGTTTGTTGCACGTCTCCGAATTCACAAATTTCATCGCAGAGCGAATTTCTGCTTGCCTATCCAAAAAGTTTGGATGAAGTGCAAAAAAAAAACCGTATTGCATCCATTTTCAAACTTTTCTTCACTTGTGAACCTACTGGGCAACTACGAATTTTGGGCAAAACGAGATATATAATCACTTATTCACTTTTCTTCACTTGTTCACTGAGCAACTACGAATTGATCACGTTTTGGCAACAATTTTACAATATGCTTTCGATAGCGAACAAGGTGTTTTTAATTAACCCTCTAAGACTGACACAACAAATATACTTCTTAATAGACTATATAACTTTGTCCACATTTCTTTGAGAATATATAAATCAGGGTGAATATGTGGGCGCATGAAAAATATTTGATCCTGTATATGAAATTAGTATATAAATATGTGATATACAATAATATTTTTTATGTTACATTGTAATGGTTTAATGTTGCACACACAGGGGTTAATAGCGTCATGCGTTTATAAACATATAAACAAACAAGTGCAAATTTGTGAGTAACGTATTTTTCTGGTGTTTATATTTTTTATTCGTGTTTTACTCCATTGTGCTCAGTGAAAACCTCAGCGAAAAAAGTGAAAAAATGGAAAAGCTACGAAACGACCAAGTGGACTCTTTGCCGTTGGCAGAGGCATTTTTAAAACGCGCTGAAGCAGACTTAGCTGTGCTTGAAGCGAAAGGACCCGTCGAAAAGGCAAAGGCCATACTGCAGAGATGCAAGGCCAATGTGGAATTGGCTCGCATTTATGAGAGTGAAAAGGGCACGAGCCTTAACACCTCAAGTGTCCTGGGGAGCACGAGCGCTCCCTTAAATGAGTCAGGTAGCACGAGCTCAAGTGCTGCTCCTAATATCTCCGATATAGAGATATTACAGAGCGACGGAGCGCAGCCGGATAGAGACTGGGACATTGAAAATCCGTCGATGATTCGGGTAGCTACTCCAATGGCAAACTCCACTCCAAATGCAAGAAAACCGAGGTGCAAAAAATCTCGACCAGCAGAGGATTTTACCGGTAATTCCGGGAAAGATTATTCCTTTACAAAAGTCGAAGTACCAAAACGAACGAGTACTGATGAAGCACCAATCGCGAAGGTGAAGAAAGTGGATTGCGAATACAGCAGCAAGCCGGTATATATTCAGGATCAAAACGAGAAACCCCCGATACCAAACTCAATGCCGGGACAATGCATTTTCGTATTTAGCGCAAAGACTAAAGACAGAGGAGAGACTGAAGCATGAAGAACAATTCAAACTTACTCCAAAGGGGTATGTTTTGTTTTGTTTTTACATTTCAGATGATTCATATTATTATTCAACCATATTATTTCAATATTTCTCTAGTTTTAAATATCCTCACCACGGAGATCAAAAGTATATTCTGCCACAACAGTATGGTAGACCGCATTGCGGCCATGCTGAACTACTTTCTGTTGCATTTGGTTGGACCGCGCAAGGAGCGCTTCAAGGTAAAGGACAAGAAGGAGTTCGACTTTGAGCCGGCCCAAACGGTGCTGGAAATCTCGCACATCTACATCAATCTAAGCACCGACGACAGCTTCTGTCTGGCAGTCTCCCAGGACGGTCGCTCCTACAGCGACCAGCTCTTTGGCTTCGCCGAGAACATTCTCATAAGGATCGGCGGGGGCCAGTTGATCGGCGACATGTCCGAGTTTGCGGCCAAGGTCAAGAAAATGGGGGATCAGTACAAGGAGGAGCAAGAGTTGCTGGCCGATGCCCCAGAGGAGTACTTGGATCCGATTATATCCAGCCTGATGACCGATCCCGTCATTCTGCCCAGCTCCAAGGTCACCGTCGACCGGTCCACCATCGCCCGCCACTTGCTGAGCGATCAGACAGATCCCTTCAACCGTGAGCCCCTAACCATGGACAAGGTCAAGTCCAATGAAGCCCTCAAGCTGAAGATCGACCAATGGATCGAGGGCAAGCGTAGTGCGGCACGCTCCAAGAGCTGAGCGAATACTATCTATATAATTGTGCAGGCACAACCAAAGAGTGCGCTCGCTCCAGGGGAAAAGGGGACAGGAGAGGTCAGGACAGGACAGGATCGGGCTATAGTCAATTTTACATATATTTTCCATTAGGATAATTCCATTTTGCTCATACATTCTTTGTGTATGTAAATCTGTGTACAGTTAGAGTTCTTGAAATTTTATTCTTATTCGCTCTAATTTTATTTACTCTGTTTCGGTTGCATAAATGTTTCTATAATCCCAAGAACTGATTGGACTTTCGCTACTTTCTGTTCTGGAAGGCCTGAAAATGCCGACGACCGATAATGTGCCACACTGTCTCCTGGTAGCTGTGTGGCAGGACCTCTTTCACCTTGTGCTCGCTCAAATACGTGAGATGGAAGGCATTGGTCTGCACCTCCGAAAAGCTGTTGGCATCGAGAACATTTGCCACAGCCATTAGTTGCATATGCTTATCGGAGGTGTAGACTACATAGGCCGTCAGCTTGAGAATGGAAGTGACGTGAACGGGCTGGAAAAAGGCCACATCCGATAGGTACTGCCACACGGGTCTTCGTCCGGCATAGAAGCTGGCAGTTATATAGCAAATCTCGACAGCATTCCGCATAATGTACCCACCGTAGATGGTGTTGTGGTTGTTGCGATTCTCTGGAAAGGGCAGCAACACTGTGGACCGCTGGGTGTTCGAAATCCAGCTAAAGTCTGGTTTCTCCACATTCGACCTTTCCCATAGTATATCCGTGCCCCTAGTGCGCATGAACAGCTCGTACATGAGCTTCTGTTCCGGTTCGGTGAGCGGCGTTTTATCCAAGCAGGTGGAGGGCGTGGTTTTCTTTTTTTTCCGCTCTTTGGCCGCCTCCCAATAGATCTTTTCCTGCTCCATGGTCGGCTTTAATGGATTGACGGGAGCAGGGCCGGTATTGGTGGCATTACGTGCCACCATCAGAAAGATGCCTTTGGCGATGGTCTGTTCTTGCTGTCGCACATTGATGGAAATCTCCATGGAACTGGTGCCCGTCCAGGAAACGTGACCCGACAGCATCAGATCTATGTCCGCCTTGGCCTGGACCAGCAACTCCACGCTGTCCACCAGCAGTGTGACGAATGTATACGGCAGAGGGGTGTTCCTCGGCAGTGACGGTAGCTTAACATGACAATGGCATATCCATACTGCGTAAATCGTGCGTAAATCAGCTGAAGTATGCGTACCAAGAAGGAGTTTACTTACTAGCAAGCATGTCCATCTCTTCGATTAGGCGCCCCCCTCGCACCATTCCCAGATAATTGACATGACGCTCACGCACTTTCACATCGGAGCCCAGCGGCAGGACGGCCGTTCTGTACGAGTCCTTCATGCTGCGCTCTGGCAAATCCTCCAGCTTCGGATGGTACTTGAGCAAGCCTGCTCGGCATTTGGGGATCGTGTGATAACCCATCTCTACCCCAACCTGCTCTTTGATCTTCTCGGTGACTGTAAGACTCAGGAATTAAAATAGTGGTGCAAATGAAGACCGGCAGATCTGTCGGTGCTTACTTTCAGCCATGGTTCCCGAGGAATGGTCGTCACCGCAGTCTTGAAACAGAAACCGCAGTCCCCTCGGTCCCCGAACGCGCATGGCGCCAACGGACTTGGCGCAACGAGAAAGAAAATTCATTTCAAAATCTCTATACAAAAGAAATTCTTGAGTTTAGTTTCGATGTTGATATAATATGAACAAAAAAATTGTTTAAATTGAACGTTTAACTCCCGCGGTGCTTATCGATGATTGCGCCATGTATCGAAATGACTCAAACAGCTGTGGAGAAACTTTGTCGTTTTCTCACACACTGGTCACGGGCACACTGCAAGTAGCATACGGTTGTTTTTTACGTAGAGAGTGCAAAAAATTTAAATGTATTAGAGTTGATTTAAGAATAAATTGCTAATAAATAGCACATAATAGAGACAGATATTCAATTGCGGCCTGGCCTAAGCGTGGCCTGTCGCAAAACCCCTGCTCCAAGCCCCTTTCCCCTCGCACGATTGGTGTTTGTGTTGTGCGCGAAATCAATTACAGCCGCGGGGCCAACGTCGTAACGTGAAAATCGATTTCGGTTTTCTCGGCGCTGTGCAAGCAGCTGCGTCACAAAATGTCCAAGTGCAATGATGTTACAGAAATAGAAATGGCATCGCAGACCGCTGGGAAAACAACTGACGACCTTCGTCATCATCCCATTCACCACACATCATCCCGGCCACAGGATTGCGCGAGAAATATGTTCCTACTCGTTGCCGTGGTAGCAACAATGACCACCGGCTGCAGTGCCACGGACACGGACATTGCGCTTGATGCGAAGGCCACGTTGAACCATCGCATCCAAAGCCTCGATCTGCTGGTCTTTGTGTTCCTCCTGGCGCTAACAGTCCTCACCATTTGGCTGTTCAAACACCATCGCGTCTCCTGGCTGCACGAGACCGGCCTAGCCGTCATCTACGGTGAGTCAGTGGGGGACGGTTGACTAGAACGGGCTCCTTCCAGAACTATTTTAGATGTGTGTCCGTCACCTGTTTGTATCTGTCTATCTGTCTGTCTGTATCCCCACTCACACCCATATGCAACGACGGAGCTTTCATTGCCACCTCTTTGTCGTTTGTCGTTCGTAATTACGCTTTTGTGTGCACCGTAGTCGTGCCATTACGTGCATATGGCAGGCAGGCAGGCGGCATTAATTAATGGGGCCCAAAGTAAAGTAAAATCCCCAGCTAGACCCAACTTACAGACAAACAGACAATACGTTTGATGGATAGAGCGAAAACGCAATGAAAACAGAATTTCTTATTTATTTATTTATACACGCGCACGTGACCTTGTCGTGTTTAGTCATGCATTATCATTGGATTGGGGTTTTCCGCAGAATATACATATTTTATTTCTCATTCGATTTGCCACCAGCACACCATCGCACACCACGACCAAAGAGCAGGGCCCCCGAGTACTTTCTCAATCCTAAACATTTTTGTATTGAAACAAGATTTCATCGAGCTAATTGAAGCTAATGAAACAATTCAATAAAACGGGTTAGAGCGACAATAACAAAACCCAGACACACACGTACTAGAGTATGTCTTCATAAAAAATGATTGTTAAAGAGCGAGTAAACTGCCGCCTACGCCCTGCCCAGACCCGGGAGCGAAAGCTATTATTCGGTCTTCGGTCCTATCTAAATTTTCAACGTTCTTTCCCCACCCTTATAAAATATGAGTTTAAACTAGAAATTCCGCGTGCAAATTTGTTAAAAACAGTCATCATTACGATGATAAGAGGTTGCCGCGCCTGAGCACTTGTTGAGCGTGGGTTCTCCGCCGATAAGAAACGGCTGCTGTTTGTACTGTGCTGGAGAACATATGTATGTATAGGGTAGTATTCTTATCAGGCAGACTTTTGATTAGTCACTCTCGCTTTTGTGATAGGTCAGGCTGTCCATAAAAAAAAATATGTACTTTTTAAACCCTATTTTATCTTTATTTTAGGCTTGATTGTGGGTGCCATTATACGATATGCGGGCAACTCCACTCCTCTGGTCCACATACAGGTAGAGCCCCAGGGTACACCATCGTACAGCGATAAGCTGCCTCCTGATACGCTTTGGTTTAAGGTAAGCCCTTCTCATTGTCTCTCTCTACGCTGATAAAATTGTAGTGTTTCTATCCATTTTAGTATCCCGTTAATCAGACGAACGGGACAAAGCTGCCGGAGGGCATTAAGACGTACGCGTATGTGTTCCGTGGCCAGGTCTACGATGTGGATGAGAATGAAATTGATTTAAAGGCCACCTTCGATCCGGAGGTGTTCTTTAACATTATCCTACCGCCAATTATATTCTATGCGGGCTACAGCTTGAAGAAGGTTTTACTTTTTGCGACTGATTCGATGTTGCTAAGCGACACTAAAGGTTTTATATCTTTGCAGAAATATTTCTTTCGTAATTTGGGTGCCATACTGACATTTGCCATTGTGGGTACCACATTGTCGGCCTTTCTCATTGGCGGCTTCATGTACGGCTGTGTGAAACTGATGCCAAAGTACTTGAGTAGCAGTTTCACATTCCTGGACACTCTCTATTTTGGAGCCCTCATTTCGCCCACAGATCCGCTCACCATTCTAGCCATATTCAATGATCTTCGGGTCGATGTTAATCTCTATGCGCTAGTTCTGGGCGAATCTGTGTTGAACGATGCGGTGGCCATTGTCCTCAGCGGGTAAAACAACCAACTAAAAAGTTAGGCATCAAATAATGCTTTTACACTCTTTGCAGAGCTATTCAAAATTATGGCGAACATTACTCCAATACGGGGGAGTTTGAGACCACAGCTTTTTTGCGTGCAATGAGCGATTTCTTTTCCATATTCTTCCTGTCGCTGCTGATTGGTGCAGCCATGGGCTGTTTTACGGCTTTGATATCCTTTTTAAACAATAATTTAGATAATTTTAATTCTCTTTCCACCATATATTAACTGATTAACCGATTGCTTCCTTAACTCCTGCCACACTTGACCAAGTTTACGCGCGTACGCGACTTCCCCCTCCTGGAGTCTGCGCTCTTTGTGCTGATGAGCTACAGCACCTTTCTGCTCGCCGAGGCCACAGAGCTGACGGGTGTGGTGGCCGTTCTTTTCTGCGGCATCTGTCAGGCGCACTACACGTACAACAATCTGTCCGAGGATTCACGGCAACGCACCAAACAGATCTTTGAGTTGCTTAATTTTCTGGCCGAGAACTTTATCTTCTCCTACATTGGCGTGTCGATGTTCACGTTCCCCAAACATCACTTTGATGCTGGTTTCATCATTACCGCTTTCGTGAGTCTATTGAATTTTCCTGTGACATCTCTTTGTAATGGAAAATTCTTTTGATTTATGTAGATCTGCGCGGCCTTGGGACGGGCCGTGAATGTGTATCCCTTGTCCTGGTTGCTCAACATCAGGCGGAAGCCAAAAATCTCATCCAATTTCCAGCATTTGCTCTTCTTTGCGGGCAAGTCTATGGAAAAATACTCAAGATCTAAACCATATTAATGTTATTCCTTGCGTATGTAGGCTTACGTGGTGCCATGTCTTTTGCCTTGGCCATACGGAATACGGTTTCGGATGCACGACAGACCATGTTGACAGCCACATCGTTGATTGTCATCTTTACGGTCATTATACAGGGCGGGGCAGCCAATTTTCTGCTCAATTGGTTGAAAATACCGTGAGTATTTTCCTTCCCTTCCAACAAATCAATATTTGAGCATTAATTTATGTCTTTCTCGTGATTGCAGTGTTGGCGTTGACGATGAGACTGAACAATTAAATAATTACCAAGTGCACAGTGTGAGTAGCAATGGATAGCATTTGTTTGATTTACAAAATCGTTAAGCTTATTGTAATTTAAACAAATATCCGTTTGGATATTACTTAAAAGGGGGAACTTTCTTCTTTAAAGACAACAATTCCCAATCCAGAATAAATCTACGCAATCAAACTGTTATTTATCTTCAGAGAAAACTCTTCTAAACTTATAAACATTCATTGGGAAATACAATTAGATCAGATCTTAAAAATCTCTAACCAGTATGCCAAATTTTGGTTTAACTCCCCCATTTCTTAACTGGACATAGTGTTTAACTCATAATTTTTGTTGTTTGTACATTTCTGCGCAATTATCACAACATTTAACCATCCGTTGAATAAAAGGTATACAATTCCATGGACAATTCACATCCGCAGACGGTACGTTTGGAATATCTCATTCAATACACTTTCGTTTTCTTCAGTTTCGATTTTTTTTTGTTTGCCTTTGTAGCTGCCATCAACTATTTAAACCCATAAATGTTGGCAGGTCCCCGTGTATTTGTTGCCTTTTGTGTTTTGATTTTGTTTGGTATCCTCGTTAGTGTTGATATTTCTTTGTCCTTTATCGAACGTAGTGCTAATCCCATTTGATGGAATTCTTTCGTCAGTCTGATGGTTATTTGCAGGACGTGGAAAGCGGTGGCGGAGGTCGTGGCAAAATGCGTTTGTCTGGCGGCGGCACGGAGTCCAATGTGGACACGCCCGTGGACGGGCCGAATGGAAGTCTGGGCAGCACAGGCGGCAGCGTCAACGGCGGACGTCGTCGCAATAGTCACGAGAAAGCCATACTGGCCAGGATCTGGGGTAGCTTCGACACGAAGTGAGTGATTTTTATGGCTATAGTAGTCCCCTATAATCGAAATCAATCACAATTTAGGTACATGAAGCCCCTGCTGACGCATTCGCGGCCCACGCTGCTGGAGACGCTGCCCGTTTGCTGTAATCCCATTGCCAGGCTGCTCACCACCACGCAGCAGCTAACACAGGTGAGTGGCTATAACAAATATATATTGTATTTATCAGAAAATACCATACTGAAAACATTTCATTTTGCAGGATGGCAGCGAGTTCAGGCGCGTTGACTCCGACTCGGATATATGCATAGACAACGATACTGGGAATGGTCTCAGCCAGGATGGCCTGGCCGGAGCTGCAGTTGCAGCTGGTGCCCCGTTGGGGCGGCGCAACTCATTAAGTCGCGTAAGTATCCATTACACGGGCGATACTCACAACCTACTGGCTAGCTACCGCAATATTCAATGAGTGAATGAGTATGAGAAGCACCCCACCACCAAAGACTAACAATAGCCATAGCAAGTGAACCACTAACCAGAAGCCAAATACCAAACAAATCAAAATCAACCTCAACCTCAAACCAAACGAATCTGACAACAGAGTACTTACTACTTAGCAAACGATTAAAATGTGATTTATGTTTTTGTTGAATACTTTTTATGTTGAAATATAATTTGTTGATTTTGTGGTGCAAAAAAAGGAAGGGAAGAAGCGATAAAGGGATCTGATCTTTCTGCCTACCTGCCTTCCTATACTATGTATTGTTGATACTTTTGATCTAGTCTTAAATTGTACGTTGTATATATTGATTTCTGACTGTTAACTACTGTTTAATGCATGCTAACCAAAAATATACTACTTAACTTGAAAAATGTAACAACTCTTCACAGCGATGAATATTAATTTACTTATTTCTCATTTCTGCGGCATCTTTCTTTCTTTCTGTCTTTCCTTCGAACCAAACCAAACCATCATCTAACCAACTCATGTGGACTCTCTCTCTCGTTTATCAATATATTTCACTTTGGTTTGCTCTAACAATCTACCATCTACGACCAATCAATCATCTACAATAAACGCATCAATCTGATCCCCAAAACTGAAACGCTATAAATGAAACCTAAATACGAATTAAAAATGTTTAAATTAAAAGACAATCCAATTGAATGAATCCAATCGCATTGCAAACGAACTCACTCTTGTCACGAATAATTTCATGTAAAATTGGAGATCTCGAAAGAACAACTTTCTTCCTATAATTTACTTACTATTTATTCTATGCTATTCTTAGTCTGTTTTGTTTTTTATTTTGTCTACTTTTCCTAGCCGATAAACCATGTCTGTCTGTCCATGATATAAATCTACTCTATAACCGTTTAACAAAGGCTTCCTATAGCTCACAGCAACTGATCAAATGTTCTTTGGTATCTTAAACTTTTAATTTCTGTATTTATTTCTCGTAATCGAATTTCTTAGATTCTAACACGCGACTAACCATGTAAGTACAGATTTTTGCAACTTAACTTTGTTTCCTTTCCTCATTTAATTATCGTATGAGAAGATATACTTCATCCATTCACTGCTTTGATGCCCGCTTATTTGTAGGATTTCATTTCCACAAACAAAAACAAACAAAATAATTATGATTTTTATGATCGTACATTTTCGGTTTTGATTATTATTTTCGACAGGCCCCAGGCGATGATCATCGAAATGTTTATATATAAGTTTTTCGTTTCTTTGGTTGTTATTTATTGTAATCGGGTCTCATTGCAAACATGTACAAATTAGTTAATTACTCTTCAGTTTATGCTCTTTTACGAAATGTTGTGATTCGGAACCCTAGTTTTAAACAAGAATAAAACACACACAAAGTTTGTTAATTTATCAAGAAATTTTTGTGTTAAGATTTGATATCTGTGAGGGCCTTTCAGCTGAATCTCTATAGCAGACCGTCTATGATTTTCTATTCTTTTAATATATGACTATATGACTTAGTTTTGCCATACTATAATCTGTATACGAATAAAAAGTTCGCACTGCACTTGGATAGTGATTCCTTATATGAATACTCATGAACATATTTCTTCTCTTTTTATTTACTTGAAATCGCTGCAACATTTTATTATAAAATGTGCAAACCCTTAATAATACTCAACTTCGAATAAATATGTGTCTAGATGGAGATTCTGGAGCACGTTCAAAGTCCGGTGTCAACGAGAGTCCGACTTTTAGGATTTTATGGGAAAAAATTATAAAAAAAAACCGCGATTTAAAACAGTCGTGTTTGATTTTTGAAATGCGAGTCTTTTACACAAAATAAAATTATAGGAAAAGCTTTTTCGATTCCGCAAACAATAACTAGTGTATGTATATATTTTCGACAACTGATATTTGGGCATTCAGTTTTATTTTTAAACTTAAATGTTGATCGAGTTGCTGATCTATTTTAATTGACGTTTTTGGTTCATAATTAATTTCTACGAAAAAAACTTATTATTATATACATATACTGTATTTAAATTAAAGCGAAGCTCTCTGAATATATTAATTGTTGTGCTGTTAATTTTTAAGTCGAAAATCAATAAAAAAAAATACATATACAAAATATGCATTTTCTAATTTTGAATAAATGTTGAATGTATAGAAACTGATTGTTCATCTTTGTGCTTCTCCCATCCCTATTGTACATCTCAAAAGAAAACAGCTAGTAATATCAAATCGAGGAATATGGTTTCCAATCCCTGATCTTGATATTTGATCATTGATTTATTAAATTTGCACTGTCACTTGTAACTCATTCATTTTCAAATAATTTGAATTGTTATAATAATAATTATTCAATAAAAATCAAGAATAACAATTATAATAACAATTATTCAATAAAAATCAAGAATAACAGTTATAATAACAATTATTCAATAAAAATCAAGAATAACAGTTATAATAACAATTATTCTATAAAAATCAAGAATAACAATTATAATAACAATTATTCAATAAAAGTCAAGAATAACAATTATTATAACAATTATTCAATAAAAATCAAGAATAACAATTATAATAACAATTATTCAATAAAAATCAAGAATAACAATTATAATAATAATTATTCAATAAAAATCAAGAATAACAATTATAATAACAATTATTCAATAAAAATCAAGAATAACAATTATAATAACAATTATTCAATAAAAATCAAGAATAACAATTATTATAACAATTATTCAATAAAAATCAAGAATAACAATTATAATAACAATTATTCAATAAAAGTCAAGAATAACAATTATAATAACAATTATTATAACAATTATTCAATAAAAATCAAGAATAACAATTATAATAACAATTATTCAATAAAAATCAAGAATAACAATTATTTTAAAAAAATCAAGAATAACAGTTATAATAACAATTCTTCAATAAAAATCAAGAATAACAGTTATAATAACAATTATTCAATAAAAATCAAGAATAACAATTATTCAATAAAAATCCAGAATAACAATTATAATAACAATTATTCAATAAAAATCAAGAATAACAATTATAATAACAATTATTTTAAAAAAATCAAGAATAACAGTTATAATAACAATTATTCAATAAAAATCAAGAATAACAGTTATAATAACAATTATTCAATAAAAATCAAGAATAACAATTATTCAATAAAAATCAAGAATAACAATTATAATAACAATTATTCAATAAAAGTCAAGAATAACAATTATAATAACAATTATTCAATAAAAGTCAAGAATAACAATTATAATAACAATTATTCAATAAAAATCAAGAATAACAATTATTATAACAATTATTCAATAAAAATCAAGAATAACAATTATAATAACAATTATTCAATAAAAGTCAAGAATAACAATTATAATAACAATTATTATAACAATTATTCAATAAAAATCAAGAATAACAATTATAATAACAATTATTCAATAAAAATCAAGAATAACAATTATAATAACAATTATTCAATAAAAATCAAGAATAACAATTATTCAATAAAAATCAAGAATAACAATTATAATAACAATTATTATAACAATTATTCAATAAAAATCAAGAATAACAATTATAATAACAATTATTCAATAAAAATCAAGAATAACAATTATAATAACAATTATTATAACAATTATTATAACAATTATTCAATAAAAATCAAGAATAACAATTATAATAACAATTATTCAATAAAAATCAAGAATAACAATTATAATAACAATTATTATAAAAATTATTCAATAAAAATCAAGAATAACAATTATAATAACAATTATTCAATAAAAATCAAGAATAACAGTTATAATAACAATTATTCAATAAAAATCAAGAATAACAGTTATAATAACAATTATTCTATAAAAATCAAGAATAACAATTATAATAACAATTATTCAATAAAAGTCAAGAATAACAATTATAATAACAATTATTATAACAAGTATTATAACAATTATTCAATAAAAATCAAGAATAACAATTATAATAACAATTATTCAATAAAAATCAAGAATAACAATTATAATAATAATTATTCAATAAAAATCAAGAATAACAATTATAATAACAATTATTCAATAAAAATCAAGAATAACAATTATAATAACAATTATTCAATAAAAATCAAGAATAACAATTATTATAACAATTATTCAATAAAAATCAAGAATAACAATTATAATAACAATTATTCAATAAAAGTCAAGAATAACAATTATAATAACAATTATTATAACAATTATTCAATAAAAGTCAAGAATAACAATTATAATAACAATTATTATAACAATTATTCAATAAAAATCAAGAATAACAATTATAATAACAATTATTCAATAAAAATCAAGAATAACAATTATAATAACAATTATTATAAAAATTATTCAATAAAAATCAAGAATAACAATTATAATAACAATTATTCAATAAAAATCAAGAATAACAATTATAATAACAATTATTCAATAAAAATCAAGAATAACAATTATAATAACAATTATTTAAAAAAAATCAAGAATAACAGTTATAATAACAATTATTCAATAAAAAATCAAGAATAACAGTTATAATAACAATTATTCAATAAAAGTCAAAAATAACAATTATAATAACAATTATTTAATAAAAGTCAAGAATAACAATTATAATAACAATTATTATAACAATTATTCAATAAAAATCAAGAATAACAATTATAATAACAATTATTTAAAAAAAATCAAGAATAACAGTTATAATAACAATTATTCAATAAAAATCAAGAATAACAGTTATAATAACAATTATTCAATAAAAATCAAGAATAACAATTATAATAACAATTATTCAATAAAAATCAAGAATAACAATTATTCAATAAAAATCAAGAATAACAATTATAATAACAATTATTCAATAAAAATCAAGAATAACAATTATTTTAAAAAAATCAAGAATAACAGTTATAATAACAATTATTCAATAAAAATCAAGAATAACAGTTATAATAAAAATTATTCAATAAAAATCAAGAATAACAATTATAATAACAATTATTCAATAAAAATCAAGAATAACAATTATAATAACAATTATTCAATAAAAGTCAAGAATAACAATTATAATAACAATTATTCAATAAAAGTCAAGAATAACAATTATAATAACAATTATTCAATAAAAATCAAGAATAACAATTATAATAACAATTATTATAACAATTATTCAATAAAAATCAAGAATAACAATTATAATAACAATTATTCAATAAAAATCAAGAATAACAATTATAATAACAATTATTATAACAATTATTCAATAAAAATCAAGAATAACAATTATAATAACAATTATTCAATAAAAATCAAGAATAACAATTATAATAAAAATTATAATAACAATTATAATAACAATTATTATAACAATTATTCAATAAAAATCAAGAATAACAATTATAATAACAATTATTCAATAAAAATCAAGAATAACAATTATAATAACAATTATTCAATAAAAGTCAAGAATAACAATTATAATAACAATTATTCAATAAAAATCAAGAATAACAATTATAATAACAATTATTTAAAAAAAATCAAGAATAGCAGTTATAATAACAATTATTCAATAAAAATCAAGAATAACAGTTATAATAACAATTATTCAATAAAAATCAAGAATAACAATTATAATAACAATTATTCAATAAAAATCAAGAATAACAATTATAATAACAATTATTCAATAAAAGTCAAGAATAACAATTATAATAACAATTATTCAATAAAAGTCAAGAATAACAATTATAATAACAATTATTCAATAAAAATCAAGAATAACAATTATAATAACAATTATTATAACAATTATTCAATAAAAATCAAGAATAACAATTATAATAACAATTATTCAATAAAAATCAAGAATAACAATTATAATAACAATTATAATAACAATTATTATAACAATTATTCAATAAAAATCAAGAATAACAATTATAATAACAATTATTCAATAAAAATCAAGAATAACAATTATAATAACAATTATAATAACAATTATAATAACAGTTATAATAACAATTATTATAACAATTATTCAATAAAAATCAAGAATAACAATTATAATAACAATTATTCAATAAAAATCAAGAATAACAATTATAATAACAATTATTATAACAATTATTAAAAAAAAAATCAAGAATTCAATAAAAATCAAGAATAACAATTATAATAACAATTATTCAATAAAAATCAAGAATAACAATTATAATAACAATTATTATAACAATTATTCAATAAAAATCAAGAATAACAATTATAATAACAATTATTCAATAAAAGTCAAGAATAACAATTATAATAACAATTATTAGAACAATTATTCAATAAAAATCAAGAATAACAGATATAATAACAATTATTCAATAAAAATCAAGAATAACAATTATAATAACAATTATTCAATAAAAATCAAGAATAACAATTATAATAACAATTATTCAATAAAAATCAAGAATAACAGTTATAATAACAATTATTAAATAAAAATCAAGAATAACAATTATAATAACAATTATTCAAAAAAAATCAAGAATAACAGTTATAATAACAATTATTCAATAAAAATCAAGAATAACAATTATAATAACAATTATTCAATAAAAATCAAGAATAACAGTTATAATAACAATTATTAAATAAAAATCAAGAATAACAATTATTCAATAAAATCAAGAATAACAATTATAATAACAATTATTCAATAAAAATCAAGAATAATAATTATTCAATAAAAATCAAAAGTAATAATTATATTATTATAATAATTATTATTATACCCAATACTCAAAATGAGTATATTGGTATATTAGATTTGTAGTGAAACAGGATGTGTATAACGTCCAGAAGAAATTGTTTCCGACCCCATAAAGTAGTATATATGTATGTACATATATTCTTGATCAGCAGCAATAGCCGAGTCGTCCGTCTGTCCGTCCCTATGAGCGCCTAGTGCTCAAAGACTATAAGAGCTAGAGCATCGACATTTTGTATCCAGATTTCTGTAACATGTCATTATTACGCGTATATTTGAAAATTTCGCCCCATCCCCTTCCGCCCCCACAAAGGACGAAAATCTGTGGCATTCACAATATTGAAGATTCGAGAAAACTAAAAACGCACAATCATAGAGAATGACCATATCTATCAGATTGCTGAATCTGGTTGAGATCACATTATTTTTATAGCCTAAAGGAACAAATCAATTTGCAGGGGTTATGCCAAGAGAGACCAAGAGACCAAGAATTGCTACAGGAATCAGGATTTGTATACAAACACCTAATCAAATGCATGAATAGGCCAAAAACTAGCCATTCTTGTAGAAAATATATTCATCAATGGGATAACATTATGTGGGAAGAACTAAGGGTTTTGTAAGCCAGAATTCTTCAACGGAATCTCTAAATTGAGCAATATGAAGGACTAGCATCTTTCGTTTTTTTGTTTGCCCACTTTCGCTAAAACCTTTTTTTGTTTGACCTATTTCGCTTATGCCTTTTTTTGGGAAGTTCCAATAAAAGCCAGTATTAAGAATAAGCTAGTGAAGTAGAAAATTGATTCATACACCGTAGAAACCTATGTGGGCATGGCAAAATGTTCTATCTAGCTAATAATACTTGACGGAACATCAAAATTGATCAATTTGGTTTCCAATCCTTGACGAAGAACAATTAACCTATTATAAGCCATGGGGGTATTTTAATTTTCCAGCGAAAATAATAAAAATTTACTAGTTTTAGAGCAGTTCAGGAGAAAGATTCGTGGGGTTTTTTGCAAGTTAAAAGGAAGGATAGGATTAATCTACAAGAAGAACTTACAGTCGTTAATATTTTCCGTCATTTACCTCAAGTAATTGAATTATTTAAATATAGGGGGCTTAAGTGGGCTAACATTAGCGTACCAAACACTAAACAATAATTCTTTAACTCGACAAATACTAAGTTACTCGACAGTTAATAAACTTACAACGTCAGAAAAAAACAAATTCTATATGGATTTGGTTAAGCGCGCATTTCTACGTGCCTGCAAGAACCACAGCACCCTCAGCTATGGGTTGATTGATCAAATATTATCACCGCTGTGCGAGCTCCATAAAGTTGACAAACCGGCAAACAAGGAGGCACTGAAAGCTTTTGTCGGCGAAATTGATGGCTGCATTCGTGTTTTTGATCAGACGCTGGTTTTCATAAAACATGCATTGGAGGACGAGGAGTACTTGGTGTACGCTAAGACAGATGCCACGCCGGACACCATAGCAAACACTGGTCTCGATGCAGAGGAATGCCAATACTTTGCAAAGCTGTTGGATAAAATAGCTGATGAAGAAAACTGCTGCATGGCCTGGAATCAGACTTACAGTGATCTGGGCATTGAAAAGCCGCCTAAGAAGCTCCGGATGCAGGAGCTGCTCAAGAAGTGGTGCCAAATGGGATACTTCCTGGAGGCTGAAGACAACATCTACCTGGGACCCCGAACACTTGTGGAGCTTGGTTTCTATTTGCGCTCCAATCACGCGGAAAACATAGAGAGTTGTAAGCTGTGCTCTAACCTGGTGCTATGGGATATTCGCTGTGATTCCTGCCACATTCAGTATCATCGTGACTGCATACGCAAATTTTTGCAGAAGCGGTCAAATTGTCCGTCCTGCAACGAACTGTGGAAAACTCCATTGCGTGTGTCCACAGATGGCCGGCGCTCGGTAACACCCCAGCCATAAATAATACATATGTACAAATAAAATTAACATGAAACGAAATGAGTGTTTAGCAAATCCAACTAGTTATTCTTTCTCGTGCTGCACTGCACTGACTAGAACCGTTTAGGTTTGGGTGAGAGTGTGTGTACTCTGTGGGCTAACTGTAGTTACTCTCTTGAGGGGGCGGTGCGGCTTTAAGAAGAGCAAACATTAAAATGGCGCGAGTATAATGCAATCTGCTGGGCAGAAAGAATTAAATGTTCGTCGAGATGAGTGTTTGTGATAGTCCAAATAAATGTGCAAAAATGGACAAAAAGTCCGTAACACCATTCACAAAGGTGCGCCGCAAATTCTGGCAGCAAGAGGCCTATAAGGTGTAGAAAAGTCGAAGTAGAAGCCTGGTTCTCCCACTCATCTGCAAAATGTTTATTTTTTAAACAGAGCGAGAAATTTTTAAGCAGCAAGAATGAAAAGCAGCACGTCTCGTATTGCGGCGAACGATTCATACCGAAGCGATTTGAGCGGGAGAATATTGATTTCAATCTGAAGTACGTAGGACGCAGGGAAGAGAGGGATATTCTGGAAACGGTGAGGATTATGTTTGGATGTTCTTCAAGTGATTCGATGTACAGTTATTCAATGCACTCGTAGGGCATCACTTTAACCTCTAGCTATTGGCGTCAGAGCAGCTTCATTTCCATCATCAACAGCGCTTTTCACATCCAAGAGCACCGCCTGCTGCAGTTCAGTAATCTGCAGGGATCCCGATCCCAATTGAGCGGCATGGTCAGCATTGATGCCGACTGGCCCTGTTTGCCACGCAGCAGACCGACCGCCTTTCAGAATGCCACGCACGATATGCCTGGAATTTGCAGTCCGATCGATTACAATATGATGGACTGGGCTTCAAACGACCTGGTGGCCATTTCGTCCGGCCAGGACGTAATGATATGGCGCAATCTGGACGAAAGTACCATGATTTTCAGTGTGGAGTCACCGACTTCGCTTAAATATTCGCCCGATGGCAAATACCTCGCCATTGGCTGCATGGATGGCACCTATCCAGTCCTGGATCTATGGGCGGTCACACCTACAATGGAGTTTATAGTCTCGTATCGAAAATACTTCCTCAAGTCGATGGGGTTCATACGCTGCATTGAGTGGTCGCACGATGGCAACGAGTTGCTGTGTGGCACCCACTGTGGCATCATTGTGGTCCTCACCCGCCCCAAAATGACGTCCCTTCAGATCCGAGAGCACAGACATAAGATATCTATGATCAGGTTCTCACCCAATATGCGATACTTTGCATCGGGCGACACAGATGGCACCATCTTCATATTCGATGCTAGGCTGAAGAATCGCCTCCTGAAATTGGGCTGCAGGTCGAAGGCCGTGGTCTTCGACTGGCATCCCTGGACGGGCGTGGACTTGGCTGTGGGTAAGATCATAACCCGAAATCGGCCTAGACCCTTAATATCCGTATATTCGATCCAGTGGAAAGATGTCCCGCCTCCATTTTCATCTTCAACATACCGCGTCGGAAATTTGTGGCCACATACAAGCGCAAGGACGACAGGATCAATATCAAGACAGTCACATTCAGCAAGATCACAGGCGAGTTGCTGGTCAACATCATCAGGGGTGGTAGGTAGTAATCTGGGTTTTTATCCGGCATATATTGCTCATAATTTAAGCATTCCACGATGTCTGCAGATGAAATGGAATGTCTGGTGTGTGAAATTCTCGTTCTTGCCTCACTGAATCGAGTGGTTGATCTGCTAGCCCACCAGGATCGTGGCACTCTGTTCCTGATGTGGAGTCCAGATGGAACAAACATAGCCACAGGTGGTCTTGATGACACCTTCTCGCTGTGGAACTTCTTTCCCACCCACAAGAGGGAGGCTGTACTCAAGAGGCAGGCCCAAGAGGCCAAGGAGAAGTGCAGTTCCTTGTGTCTGTTTAGAGGGATTCGGTGATCAGTCCATAACAGCAAAATGTTAGATCTTAAATTAAATGTTTTATCCGCTAAGTGTTGTTATTCGGTGTGAAACAAATTAAACGCAAGCCATTCTTTATATGGAATTTATTTCAATGTTTAAACATATCTATTGGCTGGTTGGCTAGCTTCTTTGTTTTCATTACTTATTCAATTCATGTTGTTGCTTCCAATAAAATTTCATTGAATAACCTAATGCATTTACTCTACTGAAATCAATGATTAATTTATGAACCTAAAAACTTCACTGTTCCCTCGGGTTTACGTAAAAGGATGTAATATATATTTTATATGATGGATGTGGTAAAATTACTGGACACAGTGCTCGCTCTCTATCGGAGATCGCTGCGGATCGGATGGGCCTCCTGCTGAAACAGATAGTCCGCACAGGCTTCCGCTTGGAGGCGTCGTTGCTTGGATTGGTAGGGTTTCACAATAAACCGATGGCCGGTATAAATGAGGACGGTGGAGCCGATGCCGATGGCCATCAGACCCACGGTCGTGGTGGCGAACTTCTTGAGTCCGTTAATGAAACTCATCTGTAAGAAAAGAATGCAATTAAATAAAGGCCAACTAAGAGTTACGAGTCATTCGAACTTTGTGGAATTTGTGACTGCCGCTGCTGTTGGAGCCTTCGGTTCACTGTCTGTTTTCTTTTCGTCTTTGAATTTCAATATCAATGGCTGCCAAATGTATATGCCTCCTAGTACCCCGAGAGCGGTTACTACCATTAACTGAGGAATTGTCACACCACGAGGACGACGAATTTGCATTTCACGAGAGTGGATTTTTATAATAAATTTTATGTCTTCAGCCGGTTTGGTTGTTACATCAACGGCACGGAACCATGAGCACAAAACAGCTGAGCTGCCAAGCAGAAAAAGTTTCCCAGCACTGTTTACAGCATTGCCAGATTTGTTAAATCAAAATGGCAATGTTATTTAAAATTCAAATATTATTTAAATGCCATTAATTAAATAGTATTTGGTCATGTTGTTCCGGCAAGTTTAGGTATTCTCCAAGAATATGAATCAAGTCAATGCTCATGTATATGGGAAAACACTATGCAAATGGCTGAAATCGAATTCATGGGGCAAAGGAGGGGAAATAAAGAGAAATGGGGAAAAAAGACCTGACCCATGTTCAGGAGACTGTGACGTGCGCTGCTGGCGTTTGGGACTCCCAACAAAAACAAACACGCGCGCAGCCACCGCGACGTTGACAGAGCTAGCTCTGAAGCTGGTTTTTAAGCTTGCCCGCTCAGACTCTTGAGTCAATCCAATTGGGATCGCGGAGCACAACGGTTATCGTCGTCCGTCATTCCATTCGTCCTCTCTCGCTCTCTTCTACTGTGTTCAGTGTCTCTGTGTGGTGTCGTAGTCTCTCCCGCAACAGCAGCAGCGCGCATCTATTTAACAGTTGCTTTGGTGGTCGAGAAAAGGAGAATAATAGACACAAGAAAATCGTATCGATCGTATCGATTGGGGAGCATAATAATAATGATAAGCAAAAATCTGGCTTTGAGCAGATTGCTGGCAGGTCTTCTGCTGGTATTTGGAGCATCAGCGTCGGCGAATGGCAACTCAATACCGACGATAACGACGCCTCAGGGCGTGTTTGAGACGCGGACAGACAAGGTGCCGATCGGACCAGTGGCGCTGCCAGCGATGCCCGGAGGGTATGATGACATTGACACCTTTGTGCCATTCAGAAGCGACTCCCACGACCAGTTCTCGTGGCAGCTGCTGAAGACAGTGCTGCAGAATGAGACGGAAGCAAAGAATGTGATCATATCGCCGTTCTCCATCAAGCTGGTCCTGGCCCTGCTCTCGGAGGCTGCCGGCGCCGATACCCAGACGCTGCGGGAGCTGGCCAACACCCAAACGGATATCAGGTCGCAGAACAATGTGCGCGAGTTCTACCGCAAGACGCTCAACTCGTTCAAGAAGGAGAACCAGCTCCACGACACTCTCAGCGTGCGCACCAAGCTTTTCACCGACAGCTTCATCGAAACTCAACAGAAGTTCACGGCCACCCTAAAGCACTTCTATGACAGCGAGGTCGAGGCCTTAGACTTCAGCAACGCCCAGGCGGCGGCCGACGCCATCAACGAGTGGGCCAGCAACATCACACAGGGCCGGCTCAGCCAGCTGGTGAGTCCGGACAATGTGCGGAGCAGCGTGATGCTGCTCACCAATCTCATCTACTTCAATGGACTGTGGCGCCGGCAGTTTGCCAGCACCTACCAGGGCGCCTTCTTCCGCAACCAGAAGGAGCAGTCGCGCGTGGAGTACATGGAACAGACGGACTTTTTCTACTACCACAACTCTGAGAAGCTGAAGGCCCAAATCCTCCGACTACCCTACAAGGGAAAGAACTCCATGTTTGTGCTGCTGCCCTACGCACTCGATGGCATCCACGAGCTGGTCCATACGCTGGAAAACGATGAGTTGAAGGGCGCCCAGTGGGCCATGGAGGAGGTCAAAGTGAAGGTGACGCTGCCCAAGTTCCACTTTGACTACCAGCAAGACTTCAAAGAGACTCTCAAGAGTCTGGGCGTGCGAGAGATCTTCGAGGATAGCGCCTCACTGCCAGGACTGACGCGTGGAGCCGATGTGGCCGGGAAGGTGAAGGTCTCCAACATCCTGCAAAAGGCCGGCATAAATGTGAACGAAAAAGGTACCGAGGCTTATGCAGCCACCGTTGTGGAGATCGAGAACAAGTTCGGGGGCAGCACAACCATCGAGGAGTTCAATGTGAATCGTCCCTTTGTGTTCTTCATCGAGGAAGAGTCCACTGGGAATATACTGTTTGCCGGAAAGGTTCACAAGCCCCAGGCCTAGGCCTAAGCCACACACTCGCCGCGGTGTATAATCTTGTAATATGCAATAAACAACTAAGAATCGAAACACATAAATTTGCTCTTGACATGGTTTCACACACAGCCCCAGTAATCGTGCGTGGCGGCGATTCCACCTCTCCATAGTCATTCCATTCCGTTTGGTTCGCTGATAAAGCCAAAGGCACTCTCTGGCACTGTCGTTGTTTTTTTTTCTTATATACGACTCTACTTTGACGGCAAGCAGGCAGGCATGCCTTGAACAATTGAAAGCGAGCGATGTAGATGCAAAATACCTCAACATCTAGCTTTGGGAATGTCCCAAGTACGTAACGTTTAACGATCTCCTCTATTGGTAAATCAATTTGTAAAGTTAACGCTCATCTTATGCACAAACACGACTCATGACTCACGGGAATGAGGCGTTCTACACAGGGGCTTAGACAAATCGGAAAGTTTGTTCAGCAAATTAAGATCTGTGTACAAATAGAGAAGTGTCCACAGCTCTTTCGAAATATTTTTAAAGATTTAAGTGTTAAGAAATGCGAAGATTTCAAATTTTTCTCTGATAGACCATATAGAGCAGAGCTGTCTTATGCGTCTCGCTTCGGGCCTATGGACAAACGGCTTTATTATTCTACCCGGCTGCCGGCAGCCGCAGAGAACATGAATCAGTTAGAGTTTTACACTGACCAAAATTTTCAGCCTAATGTGGATGGCGGACGCAATACTTGATTTGAACTACAATATTATTCATTCTTTTAACAAGGAACTTACTACGAAATTATTGGAATTAATGTTAAATATTTCCTTATATATGTTGCACCCACAATAATATCCTCGTTTGATAAATTAAAAGTATTGTTTAAAAATAATATTTCCAATAACAAATGGAATCAGAAAATAAAGTGGAATCATGGCAACATCTCAAGGCGCTTTCTTTGTCCTTCCTGTATAAAGTTTTCGTGCAAAACTTTCACATTATTCGCTTGTTCACTTCTTTATAGCCGAGTCAATATGCATAAGAGTGATATAAATTGTTGAAAACGATACTAAACTTCAAGATATATCCCTGAAATGGTGTGCTCAGATGAGAGACACTCTGAATCAACAGATGCGCGATCTATATGCATTTGCAATATGTGTAAAACACTTTGGGTGGTGTGTAATGTTTGCACCGGAATCGTAAAACCAGTTTGCAAACAATAATACCGTGAAAGTGCACTTTGCTGAATATTTGCTTGCCCTGACTCAGACACGGAAAAAGGGTAAATGGAGAGGAAAAAGAGGCCACAACATAATGTTAGGCCCCGCACTTCTTAGAAAATGTATTTATTTATCACTTACCTATGCCACTGGGCAACGGCATGGCCATAGGCGGCTGTGGGGCCTTCATCTGTGCTTTCTGGTTGTTTTGTTGGCGAATTTGTGGCGGCTGCTGCAGATAATATGGATTGTTATTGTACTGTGTCGGAAAGTGGGGCTGCTGCTGCTGCTGTGTTAAGTCAGCATTTTGGAAACTTCCATCAGCGGTACGTCGAGGAAGCTGTCCACCTCCCAAGTTGGGTATCCCAGTTGGGGCCTGGGGAGTGTTGCCAATGGCATTGCCATTGCCAGATATAAGAGCATGAAGCAAAGCATTGGCTGAGGTATCCGGACGATTCTGACGCTGCTGCTGGCCACGAGATTGCTGTTGCTGCTGCTGTGCCGGATTCTTGACTCCAACAACAGCACCACCATTGATCAGCATGGAGGACTGCTCCTCCATTTTACGCTTCATTACAGCATTTCTCATTATTAGATTGGCATGGGCCTGCAGATCCTCCTGCGACAGCTGTTGAGTCTGCTGTGGGAACTGCTGCTGCTGCTGTTGCTTCTGCTGCTGCTGTCTCGCAGCCAGACTCTGCTGGACAATGGTCAGGTGATGGAGATTTTGCAGCTGGCTGGCAATCACCGTGCTCGAGAGCATGTCCAGCTGCTGCTGGTGCTGCTGTTGCTGCTGCTGAGTGTTGGTGAACTGCAGCACTGCCGTAATGGCCTCCCGATCTGTGTTGCAGAGACGCGGGTTGGCCAACTGAACCAGCAAGCCGTGCTTGGAAATTTCCCCTAAGAAAATCAATGCAAATGGATTTAGAGATGCTCTGAGTCTTGGCCATTTCCTAGTCCTTACCTTTGGTCAGGCGTAGCAACAGCAATTGGGTATCAGCACGGCCGAGGATCGCCTTCAGCTGGAGGCCGGCCAGAAAGGCGGTCTGCTGCTGTTGCTGCTGTATGAGCATGTGTTGTTTCTGTTGCTGCTGCTGGTATGCCTGCTGCTGAATGATGAATGTGGAAATAGCATCAGTGGTGACCGGCTGCGGAGGTGGGGCTGCTTTCGAGGCACTGAGCGAGCCAATTAGCTTTTGGAAATTATCAGACTGATTATTCTGATGGACAGATTCCCCCCCACCAGCAGCAGCTGTGGTGAGAGAATTGCGACGCCACTTGGCCTCCAATTGTTCCACCGAGGGCATGTGGCCTGGCAGGGATTTGGGCTGCTGCTCTTTGTGTGGATTCGGGTTATGGGTCATGGCCTGCTTGAAGAATTCATTTAACGAAGACGATGACCCATTTCTCTCACGTTCAAAGAATGACATGAATTTAGAATTGTTGCTGTCGCAAGACGGCGGCTGTGGCTGCTGCATTGGCATTCCCTGCTGTGGCTGGTGCTTTTGTGGAAGTGGCTGCTGCTGCTGGTTTATATAATTGTTGTTCTCGTAACTCTGATTGAACTTATCAAACTGGAATGATCGGCCGCTACCGCCACCAGAACGCTTCTCCTCCTTGGATATCTGTGGATGCTGATGCGGATGCTGTTCAGCGTTCATCACCTTGTTCATGTTGTCCATGCTGTGATTGTTGTTGGTATCATGTTTGGGCATAAATTTGTTGCGTGAAATGGCGGCATCTGGATGGGTCCACTTGTACTTGTTCTGATCCATCTAGTAAGTATAAAGGAAATATATAAGGACCACCACTTGGTGCACATTGAGCACTTACCTTATGCTTTTGCCCTTCCCTGTCCATTTCGGCATGGTGATGGCCCTCCTTGAGCATCCTTTCCTCGTCCTCATCAAAGCCGCACAACTCGATGGTGTCCAGCCTGGAGGTTGGGCCACAGCTGAACCATTCCGGCTCCTCGCTTTGGTTCCTGTAGCGGCGATGGTGTCGCTCCTCCGATTCGCGGGACTTGGGCTTCGACACAACCAGGAAACCGGACATTACGCGCTTCACATAGTTCTCATTGGCACGGCTTAGGTCTTCGCTGGACTCATTGGACATCATGGTCTCGTTATCCGAGCGATTGTTGGACATACCCATTACCGGGGTATTGGGTCGACCGTTCGGCTGGCTCATCTTCGAGCTACTAATTTCGCCGTTGTCAAAGAACTGCAAAACCGTCATGTTGCCGCTGTTCTGATGCTTCAAGTTTCCTTCATCCAGATGGAGTTTGGTTTTATTATACGGATGGTAGTCCGCACTACTGTAGGGCCACTTTGTGGAATGGTTGAAACGGCCGCTGCCAATTCGTCTTTGATTGACAATAGCGGGATCCTTGCAGGAGAAGCAGTGCTCAAGTTTAATACAAAATACATATTTTCAAATTTAAATTTTAAATTCGATTGCTAATTTGATAAGCTTTTGGTCGAGGCAGAAAGAAACAGTAATCGCCTGGGGTTCATCCCTAATTGCGCGCAAATATACTGACACACACACCCACAAAAGTACAACTATTCCTATCAGCATGGCCAGCTGTGGTGTCGAGTGGCGACGTGTGGGATAGATAAAGCTAATAAAAACAACAGTTCCACTAAAGTACGGGCTCTGCTGCTTGCTAAGCGTTCAGACAGCGATTGCGAGAGTGCGAGAGAGCAAAGAGGAGAGAGCAATAATAATGAAAAAGGGAAAAGTGAGCTCCGCGAATCAAAAAACTCAACTTTGCCTGGTCCAAGCATGCACAAACCGCAACAGCCAGCGTAATCGTAACTCGGTCAGTTAGTTGACAGACATTGCCTGGTCTCGTGTACCACCCCAAATCCGGAGCAGAGCACAGCAGAGCAGAACAGAACGGAACAGAACAGAATAGAACAGCAAAAGTAACTGTAAATAGTTTTCATAATCTGATTTAAGGCCGGTACAAGTGCGAGACGTTCGACACGATGCAGTTTGTTGCCACTGGTACCACGTGAGAAAGGGACACTGGATGTTCTGTCAAAGCTAAGTCCCGTTTCATTTTTTGCAGAGCACCAGCATAGGCGCCTGAACCCCCTCACCGGAACATGGGTACTCGTGTGCCCCCATCGCACGCAACGTCCCTGGTCGGGACAGCAGGAGAAGGCACAGAAGAACGAACTTCCCGACTTCGATCCCACCAATCCCCTTTGTCCTGGCGTTACGCGACCCAACGGAATTGTAAATACCCTGTAATCCGGCTCAATAATGATCTTTCCGTCATGTGTACCGTCTTCTAGCAAACGCCTACTTACGAGGGTACCTACGTCTTTGAGAACGACTTTCCGGCCTTGGTGGAGCAGGTGCCGGCTCCACCCAACAGCGATGATCCCCTGTTCCAGATAGCTCCAGCGCGGGGCAATTGTCGCGTCATGTGCTTCCATCCCAAGTCAAATCTCACCTTGCCCACGATGACGGCCGCGGAAATTGTCGTTGTTATCAACGAGTGAGTTATATGGTCCCTGGATTTGTTGGAGATAACAAAAATGCTAATTCTATCGGTTTCCCCATCAGATGGATCAATCAATTCAACGAGCTGAGCTCGAAGTATGCCTGGGTGCAGATATTCGAGAACAAGGGGTCTGCTATGGGCTGCTCGAATCCCCATCCGCATTGCCAGATCTGGTCGTGCTCGTTTCTGCCCACAGAACCGCAACTGAAGCAGGAGCGACTGCGTGCCTACTATGCCACAAACGACAGGCCACTGTTGAGCGACTATGTGGAGCGGGAACTGCAACGCAGAGAGCGCATTGTGATCGAGAATCCCGACTGGCTGGTTGTGGTGCCCTTCTGGGCCACCTGGCCCTTCGAAACGATGCTCATCTCGCGGAACAACAACAAGCGCATCAATGACCTGACTGTGGATCAACGCTACAATCTGGCTGTGACCATCAAGGAGCTGACCACCAAATATGACAATCTTTTCCAATGCTCGTTCCCTTACTCCATGGGCTGGCATGGTGCACCGACGGGACCGGAACATGCCCATGCCTCCAGCGCCCATTGGACGCTACATGCCATCTACTATCCCCCGCTGCTGCGCTCGGCAACGGTACGCAAGTTCATGGTTGGATTTGAACTCTTGGCGATGGCTCAGCGGGATCTCACGCCCGAGCAGGCGGCACAAAAACTTCGAGAAGTTGATGGAAAGTGTCATTACCTAGAGAAATGAGTGCCCACAACCCTTGCGCACTCGACTTTCATTTAATCGCCAGACGGCTGTCGGTAGTTAGAACCATTATATATACATATGAATTGTGCAACAAACAAGGGAACAAAATCTCATAAAAGTAAATACTAAAAAAAAGTTACGATTGAAAATAAAACGTTCTAGAATAAAGTTTCGACTGTATTCAGGGGACCAGAGAAGAGCGATTGAGCATGATTTCCAACGACCCTTGGAGGTCAGAAGCAATAGTAATCATTAGTTGATCAGATAAGCTGAGAATGATAATGAGATTGAGGACTTTGTATTATTCCTATATAAAATATGTTTATATTAAGTAAATGTTTATTCACTCTTGATGAGGGGGCAGAACTTATTCTTCCTAGATCGGTCTACAAAATTTATCAAAATCGAAGCAAAGCCTTTCTTATTCGATTGATAGACTCCCCAAGAAACGATCGATCTGCTAGATAGCCTTACGTTTTTCTATTTTTAGAAGGGCCTTAGCACTCACCTGGAATTCCGTTTGGGGTTGCGGGGGCTGGCTCTGGATGATGGACTCGTCACTGATTAGATGCGGCTTGTTCTTGTTCTTATAGAAGGCTGGCATGCATTCATTATTGTTGTTGTTGTGGTTGTTATTGGTGTTGTGAAAGGTCGTGGGATTCGAGCGAGACCTGAATCGAGTTGAATCTGCGGCAGTACGCCACAGGTTCATACGCCGCAAGCGAGCCTCCAGTTCGATGTCGTCGCAGGTTGCGATCCGGGGCATAGCAAAAATCTCCTTGGAACGATGCGCGAGGGCATTCAGCATTTCGCCGCGTATGTCCAGCAGGCTGGAGCGCGTGTAGTGGGTTCGAAAGGGAACTGGCGAGCGACGAACTGTTGTTTTGTGAGCCTTCACGTTTCCTGGTTTGCTGGCCGATGATGCAGGAGCATGTTTCTGGTGCGCTGAATGGCGCTGCTCCAGCGGGGGGGCGACTTCCTTCTGATGTTTCTTCGGCGAATCATGTTCCAAGTCGCAGCTGACAGCCGTACACGACAGCATGCTCGTGGGCTGGGTATATGGTGTGGATGCTCTTGCCGAGAGCACCTGCAGTGTCAGTCCCTCATCCTCGTGGTGCGACTTAACGGCGGCAAACAGCGGTATGGGCTCTTGGGAAATGGCCATTTGGGTCTTGTTTTGCTTGGCCAACAGGCGGTTAACCTTCATAATCCTCTCCAGCTGCACAAAGATGGCTGGCTTCTTGTTCTTCGGGTGCACCATCACAGCCATGCAGGGAGCCACGCATGACGAGGCAGCTGCTCTGGCATCCAGCATGTCCCAAGAGCATCTTGGCAACATTTCAATGGCCTCCCATTTAACTTGATCTATCTGGTGAGATGGCTACACAGCAAAAAGTAAAGGATAAACAAACGTTTTAAGTAAAATGACAGAGGAATAGGAGCATCCCAAAGGTGGGAGTGTGTGTGTGTGTGTGTGACATTCTATAAACAGTTTCAGTTTGCATTTGCTGGGAAAATACATATGTGTATCGATATGCTTAAATTGTCTTAATATAAAAATGGCCACACTCACTTTGATGGTTACCTTCTGATGGCGCTTGTTGGTCTCTATCTTGGTTATGGCCTCCTCCAGGGCATCCTTCAACTTGACGGCCGTGAGCTTCAGATAGCCCAAGCCGCTGGACAGGAAGGCATTCGAGGGCATTGGAGGTGGCGGCGGCGGGGCACAGGGATCTTCCCATTTCTCCGAATTAGCTTCATCCTCTTCGCGATCTAACGGCATCGGTAAGGGAAGTGCTGCTTTGGACGGCAGCGGCACCTGTACTGGTGTTGGTGGAGGCGGTGGTGGCGGATAGACAAACATGACCTTATCATTCTCGCAAGGTGTGGAGACTTCTTCTATGGACGGCGGGTCAGTCTTTTCCAGCTCAGAGATCAGATGACGAACAGTTTTTGGCTTCTTGGGTTCTTCAGTCGAAATTTTCAGGGCGCCAGCGCCATCTTGATTAGTCTCAGCCATTTGCATTGCACTTTAGCTGCTTAGTTGCTTAATTGAGTTCGAGTTATTAATATTACCAAGTATATACTTACAGGAACGAAAATTAATTGTATTTAAAATTATTTAAAATAGGCACTTTTCGGATTATATCAAAACTTCCTACTTAATAGTGCGAAAAAGAACAAAATCACGTTTAACACAAGATCGATCCTAAGTTCCGTTATGCGCTCAAACACCTTTACGAACAAGGAGGGGAGGTAGAAAGAACAAGATATCGATGTTCGAGAGGAACCTATCGGCGTTTTATTTTGAAAATAACAATCACAATTATGGTTCTAAATATTCCGGCCTAGAGTCTCCACATACGCTATCCTTATTCTTATGTCTTAATGTTGTCAACAGTATTGAGAATGCGTATTATTAGCGCAAATAGGGTATACTAACGCCATTCCCAACAATATGCATGTATGAAGTAGCAAAATTGGATTCATGTTCCGCTTATCGCACAAAAATATCGATACACTGTGAATCGGAGTCGGAGCTATGAAACATAAAATGCAACTAGAATCAAAAGCCACTGGTATATATATATCTGTTCGAACGATGTGAAAGAACATAAAAATACCCTCCATTTGTTCAAAATTCATACAAGTAGTTTCATAGATATCAGCATACAAAAATTGCCAGCGCATATAAATAAATGTAAATTATATCGATATATTCGTATGTCAAGATAAATCATCCCTAAGCTGCTACACAAGCCAGACGAAAAAGTGAAGAAAATTGTAAAATAATTATTGGATATTGATTAAGAAGTTTGTACTTAACTTAAGTACGTACAACTATACTCTGGCCAGACGGATGGATGCTTAAAGTTGGTTCCTTGCGCGATTTTCATGGTAAACAAATCGTAACATAACCTAAATGTTTTTTTTCTCCTACAGTCTGAAAACGGCGAGACGCAGGGAAAGGTAATAAAAACTACTTAAAAATGACCCAATATCTACCGCCGAATTTGTTGGCGTTATTCGCCGCACGGGATCCCATCCCGTTTATGCCGCCGGTGGATAAATTGCCACATGAAAAGAAATCGAGAGGCTACTTGGGAGTGGCCCACTTTATGACTGATTTCGAGGATCCCGAGGACACACCGCTGCCCAAGACGGTTGAGACGCGCCAGGAGCGCCTGGAGCGAAGGCGTCGCGAAAAGGCCGAGCAGGTGGCCTACAAGCTAGAGCGAGAAATCGCCCTGTGGGATCCCACTGAGATAAAGAACGCCACAGAGGATCCCTTTCGCACTCTGTTTATCGCACGTATCAACTACGACACATCTGAGTCAAAGCTGCGGCGTGAGTTTGAGTTCTATGGCCCCATCAAGAAAATAGTCCTGATCCACGACCAGGAGTCAGGTAAACCCAAGGGCTATGCCTTCATTGAGTACGAGCACGAGCGCGACATGCACGCCGCCTACAAGCACGCCGATGGTAAGAAGATTGACAGCAAGCGTGTCCTGGTAGATGTAGAACGGGCCCGCACAGTCAAGGGCTGGCTGCCGCGTCGCCTGGGCGGAGGACTGGGCGGCACTCGGCGCGGTGGCAACGACGTGAATATCAAGCACTCTGGTCGCGAGGACAATGAGCGAGAACGCGAACGCTACCGCCTAGAACGTGAGCGCGAGGATCGTGAAGGAGCAGGCGGTCGCAGCAACAATGGCGTCGAGCCCAGAGGCGCCCCCGGAGGACGTCCTGCCTTTGGGGCAGACAGACGGCGGTCTCGCTCCAGAGACCGCAGGGATCGGGAACGTGATCGTGGACGTGTCGCCGTGGCTGGCAACCGTTCCCGCAGCCGGTCCCGTGAGCGCAGAAAACGTCGCGCCGGCAGCCGGGAACGCTATGATGAGTTCGACCGCCGCGACAGGCGGGAGAGGGACCGTGAGAGAGATCGCGATCGCGACCGTGATCGTGAACGTGAGAAGAGGAAGAAGCGTTCCAAGTCGCGCGAGCGCGATTCCTCCAGGGAGCGACGCGAACGCAAGCGTGACCGAAAGGACCGCGAACGCGGAGGAGTGGCCGGCGATGTTAAGGAACGCAAGCCCGATTTCCGTGAAATGGACATCATCAAGATTAAGGAGGAGCCCGTCGACGATGGCTATCCATCGTTCGACTATCAAAACGCAGCCATCAAGCGCGAGGTTGACGATGAGCACGAGGAGAAGTACCGTCCTCCGCCTGCGCATCACAATATGTTCAGTGTGCCGCCGCCGCCCATCATCGGACGCAATAATTCGAATGCAAACCCCAATGCAGCTCCCAATCCCGACAATGGCCAGCAAAATGCCAATGAGCAGAGCTGGTGGCGTCAGTAGAGACGGATTCATCCCATTCATGCCCAGACTCTTAAAAGTATGCCCCCTACGCTGACTATTTTCAGGCACAGTGACCCGGAGCCGGAACAAAATAGAGCAGAGTGGATCGGAGCAGAGCAGGAGGTTAATAATTAAAAAAAAAAGCCAGCCTTCTATTGGTTGTAACTATTTATTCAAATTTATTTGCAAATTCATGGCAGAGACCAATCCTGGTTGGATTAATATGATTATTATTATTATTATTATCCATGGTTCCATTTTACACAACAATTTTACAGTACAGAAGAGCAGAGCGACATTAGCAACAAAAACACCCAATAACGATGCAAATCCAATCCACTAATGTGCATAGCTTAAAACATTTTAATTTATAAGTAACTCTTAACAACAAATTGATAATGAAAGAAAAAGTAAGTAAAAATAAAGCTAGCCCTACATGTGTTTGTTTCCCCACCTTTGGTAAGGGGGTTCAAAGGGAAGTTTCAAGACGGAACTGGAATTCGGATTGAGTTCGGCTACAGTCTGCGGTGTTTGGTATATATCCTGGTTTGTCATGGTATCTATCCCATGGTGGTTCCTGGGATACACACACTTTACTCTTATTACTCTTACTTACGCAAAACAAACAAACCCAAAAATCTCTTGTACCTTTTGCACTAACCCGTGCCTTTTATTTTCTCTTATCTTTTTGCAGTTTTCAATATTGAAAATCTGAACAATGTGAAAACAAAAGCATAAGTATACATAATTATAAACGCAAAGAACACGCGGGAATTAGTTCCATTTTTGGTCCGTTTGCCCCAATAGAAAAAGTCTTATATCAGGTAATTTAGTTAATGCACAAAACCCACTAATCAATGCGTTTACCGTTCTAGGACGACACTAGAAACGATAGCTTCTCCTCCTGTCCTGTCGGGTTGAGTTCTCTGTGGTGTTTGTAAGTTACTACTAAAATCGGGCCTATTTTCCTGATATTTTTCGACTGTAAGTTTTTTCCGGGTAAGAATCCGACGTGACGAGTGCGTGAGTGAGTCTTGAGGTTTGTGAGTGGAGTTTTCCTTTGTTTGGTACACATTTGGAAATGCTTTAATGGTGGAATGATGCAATCTACATATAAACTATGTTTGTAATCGCTTTACAATTTCGATCGTTTCATGTACGTTTGGCTGGTTTTGAATCGTACTGAAGAGAAGAGGGAGCTAGCAGCGGAAATCACGTATAGAAAAGAAAACAGCTAAAAGCGCAAAAGGTTTGATGTTGGTAACTGAAAAAAAAAAAATGCTATAAGAGGTCCTCCAGGGGTCCACGTCGGTCCAGGTTGGTTTCGGCGATCATAAGTGATGCGTTTTCTTTGGGGAAAAGGTTATTCTCTTTTTGTATTTGCTTCAACAGAGCAGCCTCTGCCAAATTTTCGGCAAACTGCTTAGTTCGAAACTACTACACGGGGGTAACTTTGCATTGAAACAATTTAAGCATAAGTAGTCCTTGTCGAATAGCCAGAATCAAATGGTATGTGTTAAAAAGCGTTTGGTCAGTTAATAAAATTAATTCAACTGAAGCGGATAAATAAACGTGTTTCTATCGTCAGTAAAAAAAGTTAGCTAAAACAAAATATTTTTTTTTGCTGAAATTGTAAAAAAGATACAAATTTGAATTTGTGCGGGGTTTGGTTAAAAATCGTTCTAATTCAGGGCAATTCGATTAATCGATAAGCAGATAACGCGCGTGGCGATATAGTCAGAGGACAGGTTTTAAATTAAGCTTGGGTTTTCTTAAACCCAAGAAAAGAATTTTAGAAACTGCATTGATGTTTTATTTTGATCAAAGCCACATTTAAAGTAAATGAGAGAAATTTCACGGGTGCATTTTGACTTATCGTAAAGTTTCCGTGTTTTTTTTTACTAAATCTAAAATATGAATTACAAATTAAATAATTTACAAATATTTGAAGCAATATGGAACAATCAATGTAGTGCAGTGCAGTGGTTTTATTTAAAACAACAAATTAAACAGTTTTTATTCTAACAATCGATAACAAAAATCAACCCTGTCGCTGCAACCCTGCCAGCTAGCGTCTCTGGTCATTTTTAGGCATTTCTAGCGTGCAAATCTGGGGACACACTGAATACAACCATTTTTTGGCGTGTGTGTAGAAGAGGGAAGCCGCGGCGAAAAATTGCATTAAAACTTGAAACGAGCAGCAAAACGGTAAGAACGCAAGATAAATATAATTGCAAAACTCACTTTGAGGTGGCAAGCAAGCCGCGCATGAAGTGTGTGATTTGAAATAACTAATTTGTGTGTTATTTGCAATTTTTTCTTGTACAGCACGCCGGCATCATTTCATATTTTTGACTCTCACGCACTCAGAAAACCCATCGAAAAAAACATGTCTGACGAAAAGAAAGGTGGTGAAACCGAACACATCAACTTGAAGGTGTTGGGACAGGACAATGCCGTGGTCCAATTTAAAATTAAAAAACACACTCCGCTGCGAAAGTTGATGAACGCCTACTGTGACAGGGCCGGGCTGTCCATGCAGGTTGTGCGCTTCCGCTTTGATGGCCAGCCTATAAACGAGAACGATACCCCAACTTCGCTAGAGATGGAGGAAGGCGACACCATCGAGGTGTACCAGCAGCAGACCGGCGGTTTCTATTAAACCCATTAGTTAAGTTAGTTTTCATTTGTACTACAAAACAAACAACAACAACAACAAACCACAACAGATGCAGTAAAAAGGAAGCATAAAATAAAGAAGAAACACGAGCAGATATACTCTGCACACCGAACATAACAACACAGAAGAAAACGTATGGCATACAAGAAAGGAAAAATAAAAATTTTATAAACTATGTAATCCCCCCATTGACTGATACATGATCTTAATTTATTGGGTAGAAATCTGCATTTGTTTAAACGGCTTGGGTTGCCGTCCCGTCCACATGAGGAATTGCCGGTGGCGCGAATTTCCCGGTTTACGCGCGTGTAAAGACGCAGGCATACACACACACACACTTATGCACAGTCTGAGATGTGATTCAGGGGGGAAAATGTGTAGTGTGCGTGAGGGCAGGGCTGTAGGTGTGCAGGCGTATGCCTGTATTGCCTATGCGTGTAAATAGGTATACATACAAAATCGGGCTGAACCGAACGCTCCATTTGATGGAGAAATATGCACGTTGAATAGGCATTGGTGGTATAACCTTAAAATTGGTTAGATGACGTCATTTTACGGAATTTTCTAGATAGACGGACATAACCCTTAAAAATCCACCATCTTGAAATTTGATTGCAGATGTTCTTTATGTGTGTGTGTGTGTGTGTCTGGAGAAGTGCAACAGTGTTTGAAAAATCTACTGCACATGGAGATGTGTATGTATACCAAGAACGGATATTTTCTCAATCTACAAAATAATGTACAGTTGAGACAAAACATTTTCAAGCGTAGATAGACATACAAATGGATTTATGTATGCATGTACTCCCATTTACTTAGAATATTCCAGATAACTTACTTAAGAACATGTGGATCATAGATCAGATGCAAATTCTACAAATTCTGTATCTAAGGCTATACCGTTAATCAAATCCCTATAATTTCAAACTTCATTATGTAAAACGTAAAAATTTGGCTCATATTTATTTTAAAAATGCCCATATGTAATTATGTGTGCATCTGTCTGTTTGTGTATGTATTTCTATTTGAAAGGCACCATTTTCCCACATAAAAATTAACTCATGTCATGGGTTAGACCCAATCTTTTGGATTCTTCAGAACCTTCATTAGCTCACCCTCCTTGGATGTGGATTTGGGCTCGTGCATGTACTCCCAGCGGGCATGGAGGGGCAGTGACATCAAAATGCTCTCGTAGCGCGCACCGGGCGTGTATAGGCCGAACTTGGTGCCGCGATCGTAGATGAGGTTGAACTCCACATAGCGGCCGCGGCGAAGTAATTGCCACTGCCGCTCATTGTTGCCATACTCCCGGTTCTTGTGCTTCTGTACAAGGGGCATGTAAGACGGGATGACGGCCTTAGCACAGCCAGTCACAAAATTAAAGGCAGCCTCTTGGTTGGGTGAATCGATGTCGTCAAAGAATATGCCGCCAATGCCACGGCTCTCGCTCCTGTGCTTGATGCGGAAGTAGTCATCGCACCACTTCTTAAACTTGGGATAGTAGGAGGTGTCGTGTTCGTCACAGGCAGACTTCAGAGTCTGGTGGAAGTGGCGAGCGTCCTGTTTGTCCAGGTAGTACGGTGTGAGGTCTGTGCCGCCCCCGAACCACCATTGCTTTTTGCCATCTGGTGTTTCCACCTCAAAGTAGCGATAGTTAAAGTGGATAGTTGGGATATGTGGGTTGCGTGGATGGATCACAGCGCTCACACCGCTGGCAAAGAAGGGTAGTTTGGCGCCCTCCGTCAGGTTCTTGCCACGGGAGCGCATCTGTTGAACAGCAGCTGGTGGCAACCAGCCTGTGACCACCGAGATGTTAACTCCCGCCTTCTCGAAAACATCGCCATCCTGGATAACGCAGGTAATGCCGCCGCCACCCTCCTCTCGCTGCCAACGGTCCACCTGAAACTTCTTGCCACACATCTCCTCCGATTCCAAGGCGCGGCAGAATTCCGCCTGAATCTCCATAATCATCAGCTCCATTCTGTGCCGCATGTTGGCCTTGTCCCCCAACAGGACTGCGGCATCTGTTATCGGCTCGGCCATGAACCTGGACGTATCCAGCTTTCTCTTGACCTTTGCGTTTTCGGCCTCCGCCTGTGCGTACGTGACCGATGAAAAGGCCGACAGCCCCAGCCCCGTGCCGAGCAGAAAGCCACGGAAATGCTGGCTCCTGGTCCGTCGGCCGAGCTGAAACACGCCCAACGACACCAGGGACATTGTGTGCCGTATTACGTTCATGTTGCTCCAGAGCCTACTTACAAATTTTAGTGATTAATTTTTCCTCTAAAAGTGCACTTTGTTTGTTATCTTTTTTCACCGGCATTTGAAGACTGCTTGCAATCGATGTATCGACACCTAAAAGTGACACTCCATAAAAAACATTTTGACAAATATTCTCGCATTCTTTGTTTGAAAAATTTTTGTAAATTGTAAAAATAGACTAAAATATTTTAGCATAGAGAGCCTAGGCTTTGCAATTCAATTCATTCTAATTTCATTCATATTCAACAAAGCAAGGCATCGATTTTAAAAATACCGACCGCCACAGAGCGTCGTTCGATAACTACTTGCGAGTACCTTTCTGATCGGCAGCGCGTCAACGAAAACATTTAAAGAGTAGCGTCTCGCTTCACTATTTGTAAATTAAAGGTATGGTATGTTAATTGTTAAGAATATAAACCAAAAACGTTAAACAACTAGAGGCGCTTTGAGTTTATTTGTAACGCTTACACCGAATGCTCTCTCGATTTGTGCACTAAGGACCGGCACACGCAAACACACAAACACACAAGCTGCAAAACAGGCAAAAAAATGTCTGGTCTTAACAAATTTCAAGACAGCGAGGCTTGGCGTCAGAAACTGCGTGATCACCTTCTGGCCAATCGGTAAATACCAGACTCCCCCTTACCATTGGATAGTAATAGTGTTGTTCTTATTATTTAGAAACTAAAATTATTATATTTTCGACTGTATGCATGAAAAAAACATATCCCTTGAGAATGACATAGTAACCATAGAATTATTAGAGTAGCAATTGACATCCATCCGGTTTGTGATAAGTTTCAATTTTTCAGAGTACCTAAAAAATCTGCACAAATGGAATCTAAGGAACAGCGCTACAGCCTGGATATTGATGAGGACCTGAAGAAATTGTTGGAGGCGAGAAAGTTAAAGAAGGAGCAGCAGCAGAAGCAGGCGGAAGCTGCAACCACAATCAATATGGGTGACGACACCATATACGAATCCATGGCCACTGGAGATGCTTCGGAACATGGTGATGACAGTTTTGATGCCTTTGAACGCATGTGCGATAAGACGGCATCCGATCCTGATAGCACCCTGTTTCAGTACCTGCACAGTGAGGACAAAAAACATGTTCTTGCCATGGCCAAGGAGAATAGCGGCATACGTGATCTCAGCGGTGAAGACAGTGAGTAAAAAGAAAAAGAGCCTATGCCATTAGAGATCCTATAGAAATTAAACATTTTTGTAGCTGCCCAGAAGGAGATTGAGTTCTTGCGTCGCATGTTGGAGCAGATCGGCTCTGAGGATCACTTGGACAACGAGAGTCCGGTCAAGGGAGTGGAATGCACACAGCTTGAGGACGTTGAGGCACCCTCACGTTTTTGGGATAGTGACCAGACACTGGCCTGCAGTGAGGACTCCAATCCAGAGCCAAAGGCAAAAAAGAATGTCTCGCCCGTAAAGATGGTGGGTCTGCTGCGCCCCTCGACCATAATCGAGGCCTATGAGCAGGAATCTGATGTGTCGTCACACGTGAGTTTCCAGAGTGCTCAAACCCAGAAGACAAATGTGTCCAGCTCCTATGAAACGGCCACAGAGTCTAGTTCCATAGGTGGAACTCTTCTCAACGTCGATGACCTGTTCTATGCGGCAATTAAGAAAGCCAAACCGCTCAACATGTCCAAGGAAGAAGAGCGCGAGCTGCTGGGTGATTTGCATGGCAGCTTAATAGAGCTGGCGTCTCCCTCCAAAAATGATGATGAATCGGATGATGTTGAGAATACAATAATTGAATTATCATCGTCCGACGAGGAGGAGGGCATTTCTAACGATAAAGCGCCTATTTTTGATATTAAGGAAGAGGCATTCGCGGATGAAGCAGAAGAAAACAAAGAGAACTCGATGCATTTCAATGATACAATCGAGGAAATTCAGTATATGATGCAAAAAGGATTGGAGTACATTGCTGCCGCTGCTCCAGTTCCAGCAACCGTAGCCAAACCCAAGAGCCCAGTTCTTCAGAAACAGAATACATTTGATATGTCACCCAAGCGTTTGCTCAAGACTGCTGCCACCGAATTTCTGCAGCGGCCTGTGCCTCTACGCAGCAATAACAAGCCGCAAAATGTGATGCAGTCGCCGAGTAAAAGCAAAATACCACCTCGCTATGACATTAATATGCATGTGAAAAAGACTCCACATACCTTCTTAAACACACCATCGGGCATTCCCCAGCGTCGTCAGCGCCAATTGAAGCAGCCCTATGATGACATTATTAGTCCCATTCGCACATACACTCAAATGTCTGGTACGACACCGCTGATGAGTACTTTCCGTCAGACCAGCACAGATGTCTTTAGCACTTTGGCCATTACTGAACTGGAACAGGAGTCCCGTTTGCTGCAGCCTGCTGCTTCCACTTCGGCGGGAATACGCAACGAACTGGACATCGTATCCGCATCTCAACTACTGCCCAAAAAGGCGTACATATCTTCAGAGCTACAGCACGTAAGTTGAGAAATTGAATTGAAATCGTTGGTAGGTTCTGTAACCCCACAGACATTTGGCAGGTGATCGATGAACGCACGCCCATACCGATGCCCAATGTGCAGAAAATTCAAAAGTATTTGAACACGGCCGTTGAGCCAAAAGTATTCCGTCATGATGGTAAAATGAAGCTACCTAGTGATGCCCCCGTATCGCACATTCCACGCCCTGCCAATGAAAGTTTGGCCGATCTGTCGCTCGCCTCCGGCGACATCTCCATGTATACCCTTCGAGATGCTCAGCAATTTTCGAGCAAATAAGAAATATCTGAATGTTGCATCAAAAATAAATGTATTGTGTAACTATTTCTAGTAAATGCCATCGTTTGCCGTTTCTGGAGATCCAGATCTATCTACTGCTTCACTGCAGGACCCTTCCAGGCGCGATTAACCTTTGACTCGGAGGGGCGGCCCAACTCCGTGCAGATGTAGCGGCCAACTTGAATGAGTTTGTCGAGATTAACGCCTGTATTAAGTCCCATTCCGTGCAACATGTAGACCACATCCTCGGTGGCTGCATTGCCAGATGCTCCCCGGGCATAGGGACAACCACCAAGGCCAGAAACAGAAGAGTCCACCACGCGTATTCCGTATTCCAGTGACACCAAGATATTGGACAGAGCCTGGCCATAAGTATCGTGGCAATGAACAGCCAGATTCTCAGCGGGCACAGCTCGGGCTACCTCGTCCAGCATTCGACGCATGCTGCCGGGCGTTCCCACGCCAATGGTGTCGCCCAGAGAAATCTCATAGCAGCCCATCTCATAAAGAGCCTCGACTACTCTCACCACAGCACTCGGCGCAACGGCTCCCTCGTATGGGCAACCTACTATTGTAGATACATAGCCACGAACACGAACTCCATGCTTTTGGGATGCTTTCAGAACTGGCTTGAAGCGCTCGATTGCCTCGGCGGCTGTGCAATTGACATTTTTCAAGGAAAATGCATCAGAAGCGGCTCCAAAGACGGCCACCTCCTCGGCACCGGCTGCCAGCGCACTCTCGAACCCTTTGAGATTCGGTGTGAGCACCGGGTAGTTGATCCCTGGCACTTTGCGAATGCCTCGAAATACCTCTGAATTGTCTCCCATTTGGGGAACCCACTTTGAGCTCACGAAACTTGTTGCTTCAATGGTGGTCAGGCCGGTTTCGGATAGCCGATCGATCAGCTCAATTTTCGTTGCTGCTGGCAGGATCTTTGCTTCATTTTGAAGTCCATCCCGTGGACCCACCTCCACAATCCGCACCTGGTTCGATTGACTTGTAACCGCCGTGCGCTGTGTGTTATTGTAGGGTTAATATTCATATGAGATTGATCTATTTGGCTAAGCTAGTACCTTGGCAGTGAAGGAAGCCAGAGATCGGTATGCTGGGAGGAGAATTCGTGGCATTGGCATATTGCTAAATTAAAATGTTACGTATTTTCGACTTGCCCACCAGCTGTTTCTTATCAGCACGATCGATATATTTCCAACAAAAGCATCGATACTAATAATGATATATTGATATATTTATATCATCACTAATGCACAAACATATGTGTTGATTTTTCTGAAAATTTGGCGGTTTGGTGCTTTAAAACTAATTTAGACTATATTCAAATGGAACACCTGGATGATTCTGCCCCGGAGGATGAGGACGTGTTTCATTTTGAGTCTGAGCACCTGGCTCTCCGTGGCAATGAGTGCTATTCCAGCATATTGCGCACCATTGCGGTGTTGCAAGCCCAACGCATTCGTGTCCACCAGCAGATTGATGAGTTAGAAGCGACTAGGAAAATTTACCTGAACAATCCGCAGCTATTGTTAGACAAACTACGCAGCAACGAGCCGCTGATATCGGACAACTATATAGTCATAGCGCCCTTGCCAGAGCTACCCACATTGACGGCCAAGGACGGAGCCGGAGTTTCCACAAATCAGATGGCTTCTTACACTCCAGAATTACCGCAGTCCCCGGAAACAGTGAACGACAGCAATATCGGACGGTCGGTTAAACACCACAACCGCCTCTGGACCAACGAGGAGCAGCGACATTTGGAGCGGCTGCTAATTCAGTATCCGCCGGAGGAGGTGGAAAGCAGACGCTTTGCGAAGATAGCCAAAGCCTTGGGGAATCGGACAACGCAGCAGGTGTTCAGTCGCATACAGAAGTACTTCCAGAAGCTACACGAAGCTGGCATGCCGGTACCAGGTCGCCTGCCCAAATATCGCCGACCACCCCTGACCAAACCCAAGTTCAATATACGCCGATCTACGTTCTTTCCTGCCCAGAATATATCTCTGCAAATGCCCGAGGATGATATAACACTGGACGAACTGCGAGGGCAGTCTCCTGCGGGCGCTTTGTCGCCCGCATTCCCACAAGCCAAGTTGGAACCCAAGGCCGAGACCGATGGCCTGGACGGCGATCTGGATAAAGAGGCCAAGCGTAAGGAGCAGCTGCGTCTGAAACTTCTCACGGCCGTACTCGAAGAGAAACAGCAAATCGAAGATGGCTACAATCCCGATCCGATGGCGCCCAAGTGCGCCGAATGTGAGGCGGCGTCTGTGACCAGGACGCACTGGCGCTGTGATAGCTGCTATTGCCATATAAATTTATGCGGCGACTGTCTGGCCGGTCAGTTGATCGAAGAACGCTTCGAGCATATGGGCCACGAAGTTGTTGTGGATCAGGACTCATAGTTTTCTTCCAATTAATACTTATTTGTAAACATTATAATAAGACAATAAAAAATGAGTAAATTCTATGTTGAAACCAAATTAATTACGCAGCTGGACGGTTGACTTCGGCAATGCCTGTAGCCGCTGTCGCCGCTTGGCCTCGAACTCGGTCGCCAGCTGCCAAGTTTCCTTGTCCAGTGCATTTTTTCCACGGGCAATGCCCAGAAGGCGTGAAAGCACCAACAAGCCATGCAGATCATCCGCATTGCTCTTGGCATTCGCCTTGCGCATATCCACGAAATCCTGTTGAATCATCTCGGTGTGTTCCTCGCTGACGTTAAACGGACTGATGCGTGCCAAGGTCAAATACTTGCGGAACTGTTGGAGGCGCGCTGGCTGCAAGTAGTGGTGGGCCGCCTTCAGAGATTCATCCAGCAGTTCCACGGCCTTGGCATCGGCGTTAATAGGCAACACGAAGTCGCTCTGTAAGAGAGGTATTTGATTTGAAATCCAATCGCACATGAAATGCTGTATGCTGTACCGGTAACATACTGCGTCCTTCGCTCAGGACAAGCACAGGAATGTTCACATGGTAGTCAATCTGATAGTACTGGAAATCGCACTTTAGCTCCTGGCTGTTGATCAGGTGCGCCAAGTGCTGGATGGCAAGGACGCCATTCGACTCCAGTTTGCCCTGCTGCATGTACGTCTCGTCCAGCACCAGATGAGTGTGCGGTGCTAGCTGCAGCATGCCAGAGACCAGCTTGTTGGTCTCGTAATCCTTTCTGTTGGGCCAAGGATTGTTAATCATACATGTTCATATTCACGATCAAGGCTTATGCCTCACTTACTTGGGGGCAAAGGCAGCCGTGTTCATTGTCTCCAGAGTCATGGCCAGGTAATGGCTGGCTGGCAAAAGTAGCTCCAGTACTTGGTACAGCTTTGTTGTATACTGTGCCAGTGATTCCTTGGGCAAGTTGCATATGTTTAGGGAAAACTTTCCAATGCTCTGCATCTCGGAGCGACTGTACACCGAGGAAATCAAATGGGAAAGCAAATACTCGGCAGCCAAGTCATCGTCAAACAGGCAGAGCTTCAGAAGCATCCGTAAATCTTTGTGCACGCTGGTCTGTGATAGATCTTCGCTGGCACTAGCGTCCGCCGGCTGTTGTAGACTCTTGTCCAGCAGCGGATTGGCGTGCGGCAAATGCTGGACTGCAAAGGCATGCACACGTGGTATGAGGAAGGGCGATGGATGTGTGGCCTGCAGCTCGCTTAGGCTATCAAAACCCTCCGTATCTATGGTGGCGGCATCCAGCGAGGGATCGACTGATAGGAAACCAACAAAGTCGACCAGGGAATTCAGTTTATAGCTATCAAAGTCTTCGTACACTTTCACCATGCAGGCCATGCTGGGTCGACTGGGCAAGGGAGAATTTATCAAATACTCAGAGCCGAGCACGGCTGGAGCAGCGGCCGATGAGTTCCCCGATGAGTCTGACTTGGTCCCCTCAACACATTTTCGTTTGAGCAAAGTATCGTTATCATCTTCTACATCCATGGCTTCCTGGTCATCCAAAGTACGCTTTTTGGCATTGTTTGGCGATTGCGTTTGGCTGAGCAACTTGGGCTGGGGACTGCACTTGCCTTCGTGTTCCTTGGTCCAATCATTCAGGCCTGGCACTGAAACCACAAACAGTGTACGCCTCTCGCCATGCACATTGCTCTCGGCATTGTAGTCGATTGATTCGCCCGTTGCCAGCTTTAAGCAATCATGGTATTGGCCGTGCTGTAGACGCTTGCTTCCGTCCGAGGATTTCACTTCATAGCGCTCCAAATAGATTTCCGGGTCCATCATGTCCTGAATCATGCCCCGGAAACGCACCAAAGTCTGATCCTTCAGTTTATGCAACGGCGTGTAGTTTAGCAAAGGAATGGCGTGCCATGCAGTTGAATCCTTAAGCAGCTCCTTCAACTCGGATGGGTCCCTTTGGCTGTAGTGGTCCAATCCGTTGGAAGTACTTGGCATATCCATTGAACAAGGCATTATATTTTGAAAAAATTCGCAAATAACAAACAAAAACTCAGCAGCTGCTCTACGTCTTGTGTCGATAGCGCGCCAAAAGTGGCAAGTATCGATGAATTTATAGCGATGTGGACCTGGACGATGGCTCCGCAAAACAGGGCTGCAGAAGCCACACCAAAACGGATGTAGAGGCGGATGTGAACAACATCCGCAAAACGTAGGAATTTGATACAAAAACTATGAGCAAGAAAAGCAATGTCTGGCAGTTTTTCTACAAGGCCAACGATACGGTGGCCACATGCTGTCTATGCAACAGAAATTACTCGAGAAAGGGCAGAGGCACCACCTGCCTGAGGAACCATTTGAAAAGCAAGCACCCTGTGGAGTTTCAAACACTCGCCGAAGATATCAGGTGCTTAGTGAAAAGAGAAGTAACTTATAGGTTGCCACAGCATCCTACATCACAATTGGAACTGAAACTGCATGTGAGTATTTCAATCTGTTCCCTGAGATATTCCCTCATGATATAGCTACATTTTGAAATCAGAAGATCGCTCCTGATCCCTTGGAAATGGACAATGAAGATCAGTTGTTTGCGCGCTGTGACGAACATTTGGCGCAAATGTTTCTCAATCACTCCTTCGACTTGATAGAAGGCCCCGGATTCATAAACTTTGTGAAAGTTTTGCACTCGGGATATGTGATCAAAGCGAGGGGCTACTATGAGAATATATTGTGCCGCGATATCCACAATAGACTTCACGTTCAGGTGAAGCAGCAGGTGGATCTGCTAGGTGCTATATCGCTGAGCACCAGTCTCTGGTGGGCCAATAACGATGGCCTGCTTAGCCTCTCGTGTTTTGGTGTCACGAGTGATTTCAAGGCTCAGCGATTTACGCTCAAATGCGAGGCTCTTAGCTATGAGGACACCGACAGAGTGGCCTATTGTATTCAGGGTTTGATCTCAGGTTTGGATATGGAGCTTTCCAGAGAGAAGGTTCATTGCATTATCCGAGATGAGGCAACTGCTCTGGCCGGAGCACTTCCCGACTGCTCTGTCTCACGCCTGCAAATGTGTGTGAGATTCGCCTTGCAAGAGAACCAACAGCTCCAGAATCTCTACTCGAAATGCAAGCAAATTGTTGAGCATTTTGCGTCCTCCACGATGGCCCAGGAGCAGCTGAAATTCATTCAAGAGATTCGCCTTAAACAAGAGCCGTGCTCAATCATCGCCGAAAGTCCCTTGAGATGGAACTCCATTTTCGACATTATGGGCCGTGTGCTCAAGATGAAGGACGCTCTCTCGCTGTACGCCGAGGAAAATAGTCTGGTCCAAATCTATCCAGATGAATGGCTGGACATTGATTTGTGCAAGAAAGTAATGCAGCCTTGCGAGGAGATCATCAAAATGTGGAGCGATTCTTCAACGACCGCCTCTTCGGTGATTCCGCTTGTGGCTGCCTTGAGGGATTCTCTTCGAACAGATGTCCACAATTTTGTGTCCTCAGTGGTAATCTTTCATTATAAAACAAAGCAAATAAATTTCTACATATCCTAATACATTTTTACAGACCATTTGCAGCTTTGCCCGTAAACTGCTAGAAGAACTGGAAATGAAGTTCTCTCATATTACCACAGATATAAAATATCTGGTGGCCACATATTTGGATCCGCGCTACAAGCAAGCCTTCTTCAACGATCGCGAAGAGCAACTGGTCACCAACGAAGTGCTGCAGCAGCTAACCAGCATCCAAGGAAACGACGAGGGTCAGCCTTCTTTGCAAAAAGTTAAAATATCTTCTTCGCAAATTAAAAATGAATCAAAGATTGATACCATTTTGGATAATATACTGGCCTCTGGCTCTGCCCATAATCAGACAGCCACCACATCCTTTAGCTCTCAGTCGCAGTTTAAGAACCTCCTATATCTATACAACTCCGAGCCAAGAATTGAGAGGAGCATGGATCCTTTGATTTGGTGGAAAACAAACATCAAATACAGCCCCCTGTATAGGATTGTTCGGCAGTTTCTTTCCGCTCCGGCAGCGAGTGCGTCCAACGAGGCATTGTTTGGCGAATCTTCACATTTGTATAGTGATATGCAGGGGCATTTGAGTCCCGAAAGTGTATCCAAAATATTGTTCATCAAGTCCAACTCTAAGGTCTCCGACAACAGAGTGTAAAAGCTGAGATTTGTATACTTTAATCTTAAAACTAGTTGAATTGTTAATTATTATTTTTAGCCCCTGTAGTCGGGATCATTATGCTCCTCCTCATCTTCTTCCTCTTCTTCATCTTCATCTAAATAAAAATATTATTGTTTTAGTTTTTGTTTATATTAAACGAGATAATTGCCTTTCTTACCATGATCACGCCGCTTGCGTACATAAGCCCGTCGTGTGGCAACTGGCGCCGTTTGATCCGTTTCCCCATGCAGCAAAGAGTTTCGATATAAAGCCAAGGGCTGCCATTCCTCTGCACGACTCGATGGCATGCCAGGTGGTATGATCTTGTCCAGGAAACTCATAATCACCTTCTTGTCCTGCTTCAGCAGTTTGTAGTTGAATTCGTTGAGCACCTCCAGGAACAAAAGACGTGTGGGTGCCCGCACTGGATCATCGGGCTGCTTGTTGGCAGCAAAATAGATGCCACCGCGATGGATGGCCGCCACCGGATCGCGATTCTTGAGCGCATCGAAGCCGAAAGTCAGAGCAAATCGCTTGGCCAACTCTTTAAGGTCGAGAAACTCTTGTGAACTCTTTGATACTGTGCCGTCTTCGCTCTGCTCGAGGAGCGTCTTGAATACAGTGATTAAACTGAGAAGCAGGGTCATGGCAAAGTTGACTTTGTTGATCTCACGTGCTTTGCCTAGCGTGGCCTTAATTATGTCACCATAATCATTGTAGCACTGAAAGATAAAAGATTCTGTTAGGCCTTCCTCTTACTATTAGAAGGACGTGGATGACTCACCTTAACATAATATTTAAATATTGTGGCTGCTCGCATTGTGGGTATGATGTTGTAGACCACCAGTTTGCAATAGCACGCAAGGAAGTTTCGCTTCTTGTGTAATTCCTCGATGCGCGTCTCGTCCTGGACGGCATCTTGCTTCAGCGAGAAAACATAATGCTGCACAAAGTTGTCCAGTATGAGATGCTCATCCATCCGCGACTTGTACTCCAAGCTACGTATGTGCTCGATCTCGCTGCGTCCCAATTGATCGGAGAAAATGATCAGGAGATCACAGATGGATTGGTATGCCTGCAAGAAAATGGAATTTAAAATATGATTCCCGCTTGATAATTAAGCCATGTTTTGCACGCACCGCCTCTTGTATTTGCACTGTGGGTCCATCACGTGTTAGCTCAAAGCAGGCCGACATGAAGCTATCTAAATTGCTGCGCAGCTCAGCCACCACATCGGCCACATTGAGCGCTTCACAGTCGTTCTCCACGTAGTAGAGGCCCCAGCTAATGGAGAAGTAGCAGGCCTCAATGCAATAAGCCAGAGCTTCGTTGGGAAGGCAACGTTCGACATTGTCCTTGGACTGCGCCTCCTCAACGTCCTGAAACAGGGACTTGAACAAATCCCATGGATTGAGATTGTGCGAGGAATACAGAATGGAGAGAACCTTCAAGGCGATGGTTATATTGTAGATATCATCCTCGTTGGGGGTCTCCTCACCTAAAAATTCCACACATTAAAATTGAAACACGTAAATATATAGCCTTACCCTGAATCAAATTGCGCCACTCTTCGATGACATCCTTGTACTTATTGACAGCGCTCTCGATAATGTTGGAGCGGGCAATGTTGCAACGCGTGTAGGTGGCACTACCCTCGGCACAGAGGCATTCCAGGGTCTTGGCGCATGTCTCCAACACATCCCTGCCAGTGTGCATGCTCATTACCTGATTGATTTTATCGAGCAGTGCCTGCAGATTACTCTCCTGACGATTTGTCGTATACAGATTGAGATCAAAGTACTGGGGAACGGCCAAGAGATTGGCCAACTTTTCGCTGTCCGCTTGATATTTCTCTAGCAAGGCGGGTAGCGTGACAATAAAATGCTCCGTCAGCTTGGCCTTCTCGTCCTGAATGGCCTTGAGCTCTTTGGCGGTGAATGTGAATTTCCGATTACTTGCACGTCCCACTGGAACCTCCCCAGAGGCCGATTGCTTGACGCTGCTAACCATGATCTCAATGAGCGTCGACTCCTGCTTGTTGTCGAGGAGCTCCTCGTTGGGACCCGGCTCTTCCAGCAGCAGATCTGTCATACATTCCCAGTCCCTGACCATCTCATTACTGTCGATGAAGGAGTCCACCAGGTAAGCGCCATGTTCGTGCAGCTCGGATTCAATGAAAAACTGAACCAAATCTCGCACTAAAGGAGTATTTGGCAGGCGTACCTTGCCTCGTTTGGTCTTAGTCTCTTCCATATCGTTGGTCAGATGAAATAATCGAACATTTAGAAACTCGGCGGCCGCCTGGGCTACGCCACGATGGGACGAATAGACCAGCTCGTACACAATCTCACAATCCTTGTCGGCCAAAATCTCTGGATGGATTCTTTATCCAATTCAAATTAATTTGTATAGAATATTGCCAAAAATGTATACTTTAATACTTACTTTAATATACTGATCACCAACTTGACGGCATGGACAGACACTTCGAACTCCTTGTCCAGCGTCATGGCCACAATTCGATCCTTAAACTTCGAGGTGAAGAGCTCCAGTTTTCCCTTGAGTTCTTCTTTTTCGTACAGCGGCAGCAGCGACTGCAGACAGCGCAGACGCACCTCACCAATCTTATCGTGTAGCGTCCAGCCAATATATTTCAAGTAAGAGTCGTCCAAAAAATTTTGCGGATAGTTCTCCATCCAGATGCCAATCTCAGCCATACAAATGGCCCGTATATCTGGCAGACTGTCCCTGTAGCGGTGCACAAACACGGACTTGAACATGTAGGTCAGCATACTCTTGATTTCATCCATGTTCTCCTCCAACTCTGATCGTTTTGTCATCAGGGAATCCAAGCGATCTGAGGCGCGACGGTCGCGAGACTAATAAGAAATTTTTATTGAAGGAATTGCATTTGATAAGTGTGAATGACACTACCTTTACACGCTCAGCCTCAAACTGTTTGGCAGCATTATCGAAATTATTCGAGACAAGCAGAGCCACATCCACCAAGGCAGTCATTAGCTTCATGGCTGCCAACGTGGCCGTGTGCCTGAAGGCCCGCACTTGCGAATCAGACAATCCCGTGAGCAGAGAAATTACATTGTCCATCAGGAACTGATCGTAGATAATGGAGTACTGGCATTGCTTGACGAGCGTTTGCACAAAATCGCAAAAATGATTTTTGAACTTTTTCCACTGGGTTCCGGTCATGATTAAAGGATATTCACCGCTTTCCTACAAATAAAATTTTTGATTGTTAGATGGATATGAATATTGTGTGGCACTACGGCAAATGGATTACCTCGTCAAACTCCTCAGTCATTCGTCGAATGATTGCTGTATGATCCACTGGATATTGTATATCCTCCGATATCTTGCCCTTGCAGCCGCTGGCATTTATAAAGAATTGCATCAAAGCGACCAGCGCTGTTTCTCGATTTGTCTTGTATTGCTCTATCCATTGGTCGACAATATTCTGCAACAGAGAACGATATTATTTAAACATTTAATGAAAAAGGCATTAGCTCCTACCGCTATGGGACTCTTGGAGTGTCGCACGATATAGTACAGGCTGTTTTCGTCTGTAGTTATCTCTCTTTCGTTGTCAATCCGTTCGTGGTGTGCTCTCTCCGCGGGCTCTTTGCGTGGCCTCTCGACGCGTTCCTTTCGCTCTGCGGGCGGCTTTTTGACAGCTGGTGCCTTTCGCTTTCGGGCTATTGGCGCGAAAAACTCATCCTCGTCGTCGTCGATAATTGGAGGCTTGTCCCGTACACCGCCACGAGCCCGCAATCTGGTCATACGCTTGGTGGGACTGTCTGCATCGGAAGTGCTTTCATTTAAAGCATCGCTATATTAATTAAACAAATCCGTTTTTAGCTAAACACCTGGCCAGGTGAGTTAGACATTTGTCGGACCTGTGGAGTTCCTCGTACTCTGGGGGCGGATCATCCATCCGAATGCGCTTTCCACCGCGGCGCGCCATCATTATTTGCTTAACTATTTATTTTATCGCCAGTAGGTTTCAATAGTTAATAAAAACACAATATTTTTTATATTTTCAGCCAAGGCGTCTATAACAAGAAGTGGGTGGAATGCGGGGTTGCACTGCAAAATATATCGATTGGTGGAAGCGTTTATATCGATATAAGCGGCGAGGATAAGAAGAAGAATGACAACAAATTACCTAAATTTGTAACAAAAAATATAAATTTAATTTATACTATGGCTGATTTCGGAGGAGACTCAGGTGGTCGGCTCAAGGGCGTTACCATTGTCAAGCCTATTGTGTATGGGAACATCGCGCGCTCCTTTGGCAAAAAACGTGAGGAGGACGGACACACGCACCAGTGGAAGGTCTATCTGAAGCCCTACTTCAATGAGGACATGTCCATTTACGTGAAGAAAGTGCATTTTAAGCTGCACGAGAGCTATGCGAACCCTAATCGCATTGTGGTCAAGCCCCCATACGAGGTCACGGAAACCGGCTGGGGTGAGTTTGAGGTTGTTATTAAAATCTACTTCAATGATCAGTCGGAGCGGCCGGTGACCTGCTACCACATCCTGAAGCTCTTTCAATCGCCCGTCGTTGATGGCGAGCTGACCTCCACCACCACAATGGACACCAAGAAGGGTCTTGTATCGGAATCGTATGAAGAAATCGTCTTCCAAGAGCCCACCCAGGTCATGCAGCATTATTTAATGCTCTCGGAACAAAGCTCCAATGGACTGCTTAGCCATGACACAGACTGTAAGTGCTTTTCACTTGCCGTTTGGCCATTAGTACTAAATAGATTTGTTTATTTTAGTTGAAGAAAAGAAGACTAAAACGCTGGACAACATTGTCAATGTAAAGAAGAAAGTTAAGGGAGAGATTCTAACACTCAAGGACAAGCTGAAGCTTGCACGGGAAACAATCTCGAAATTTAAGGCGGAATTGGCTAAAGTGCAAAAGGCACCTACGTAATACCTGCATCTCCATGCGACCATGTTTTGCCGAAGAATTTAATGAGAATAAATTAATATGATAAATTATATAAATATACGTATGGTGATGATTGAAACTGCATTTCGCAACTATTGAAAAGGTGAACCTACCGGGAAATGTACGTGATTTTCAAGTTCAAGAGGTGGAGCAGATTAGGAATGCTATTCGGCGAAAATTGGCCCTGGAAGGTATAACATTTTGGCTGAGACACTATTAGCCAAAAGCTGGAGACATTCGGGCAATCGCTAAAGGTGAATATACCGTAATTATTCGGGAATAACACGACATTCTGTCCGTGGCATCGTCAAAAATGTATTGTAAAACAACATTCGGCATACCCTAGAGAAAAGGGTATTATAGAATAGCGGAAATGTTTGTCATCTCTGGCTGCAATGAAGGCTAAAACTCTTTAGCAGTTTATTGTTTTCTTATGGAGACCAAGAATGGGATGAGTATCGGGATCAGGATAAATATCAACCTTGTTTTAGTCAAGTTAGTTAAGTGGGCTGAGTTCGTTTTTCATCGGTAGATATCGGAATCGGAATTTCCGTGGTCACACTTATTTTCTTGCCACCATGTCTAGCTCACACACCTTGCAAAATTTTATACTTTTCATAGTATTTTCTAGTCTTTTCCAGTATATGCCATTTAGCCATGTCACAAGACACATCGAATACTGGTGATCAGCATCGAATTGAGCGTTTTAGCTTGTTTATAAAGTAACGATAAGAACTTAAAACTCGCTAGTCTTGTAGGAAATTGATTGATCAATTGAATAAAATTATGATTTCAGAGCTGAGGGTCCTAGCTAGCTAGTAACATTCAAGCGAATATCAAAAACGAGGAATATGATGGTACTTGAATACAAACAACTAGTCAGTATATTTCGGTATATTTCTGAGGGGCAGAACAATAAAATGCTATTGTTTATTTGACTTGTTGAGTGCATCATGTCGGTGGCTTCGAAAATCGAATGCTGAATTAAAAGACAATGATTTTATGGCTCGAATGTCTGGTCGTTAACGTATAATGTGCATAAACAGCGTACACATGAATATGGATACATACAGACCCATATAAACGAACGGTGATGCGTGATTCTCAAGAGTGAAATTTGTTAACTGCGCAAACGCAAACGCGTTTCTCAAGCCACCAAAAGATACGAAATACAGTGAGTGCCAAAGATTTGGATTAGGCTTTGGTTATATATTTTTGGGTATACCTATGCCTTACCATTTTCAGTCCCTCTCAATGTCGCCGCTGACGTCGTCGCTTCTGCTTTTTTCGCTGCTGACGTCGAGCCTGGAAGCAATTCCGGTTTTACAGCCATCGTTCCCTCCCTCGTCGCCATCGCCCGCGCCCTCGCCAGGCGTGCGAATTCTTCGCGCACCCGAATCAATTGTGGCGCCCCTTGGAGATGAGGTGGTGTTTGAGTGCGAGACCAGTTTGCAGCCAGAGGGTTTCGAGTGGAGCTATCGCCGCTGGCCGAATGCCGCAAATTCCAATGGATCCGTGGGAGCCAGCCGATTTAAATACCTGAAATCGGGCAATGGCAAGCTGAACGTAACCCAAGAGACGGCCATTTCCCGTCTGCGTGTCCTTGTGCGGCCAGACACGGTCGGCGAGTATCGATGTATTGGCTGGTTTGGCCCGCTCGTGGTTACCTCTACCACGGCCAGGCTGGAGTTGGCGAACACCAGCGTTAAGGGCCGGCAGGAGACTCACTTGCAATGGCGTGTGGCCCCGGGAAACTCTGTCCTTTGGTCATGTGGTCAGCAGGTGCATTCAAATCCCTCGGCCAGCTGGTCCTATTATCGAAATGGAGTGGAAATTAAGCCAGAATTGGCTGCCACCAATGGAAATTTATTTCTGACAAACGTTTCCACTGCCTCCGCGGGAAAGTACACCTGTCTGGCCACCAATCCGGCTTCTGGAGCCCGTATCGAAATTTCTAGCTCCATGGTACTGGAGGTGCTGTCCGGTCGAGGATCTCAGAATAAGGCTCCTCACCTGCTAAGCGGTCAACCAACGTCCCAAGCCGTAACCATACGAGAAGGAAGTACCCTGCTGCTGCTATGTCCCGGTGTGGGCTCACCGACGCCCACTGCCGTGTGGAGCAGCCCGGATGTGGTTGAGGCGATACACAACAAACGAACCAGAGTGCTCAACCATGGACTGGAGATATCCAATGTCCAAGGGCACGACACTGGCACCTACATTTGCTACCTGGACAATGGCGTACGCCCAACGCTCGAGCATTTTATCAATGTGACAGTGGAGGTACCGCCGCGGATAACGCGTCCCCCGTGGGCCGATCTTACCAACGAGGGGGAACGCATGCAGCTGGAATGCGAGGCAACTGGAGTGCCAGCTCCAGAGCTCTACTGGCTGCTGAATGGCGAGAGCAGCATTAATGACACCGAGGCTGAACAGCTGCCCAATGGATACTTGGTCCTACACAGCGTCCAGAAGCGTCATGCCGGCTATGTGCAGTGCTTTGCCCGTAACAGACTGGGCGAACAGAGTGCCGGAACGCTGCTTCAGGTGAATCCCAAGCAGATACAGAGTGAGCCCCGAGAGACTGGTAGTGGTGGGGGCTTTGGCTCCCATCGGTCCATGAAGCCCGTCAACCATGGCCAAAAGCCGACCAAGATGATCCCGCCATCGCCACCGAATGTCACCCGACTGTCCGATGAATCGGTGATGCTCCGCTGGCATGTGCCGCGCAACGATGGCCTTCTCATACTCTTCTTCAAGGTGCAGTACCGCATGATCAGCGAGGGCAAGCGCAAGAACTGGCAGACGACCAACGATAATATACCCTATGGCAAGCCCAAATGGAACTCGGAGCTGGGTAAGAGCTTTACCGCATCGGTGACCGATTTGAAGCCCCAGCGCACCTATCGCTTCCGCATCCTGGCCGTCTACTCAAACAATGACAACAAGGAGAGCAACACTTCGGCCAAGTTTTATCTGCAACCAGGAGCCGCCCTCGAACCGATGCCGGTGCCAGAGCTGCTGGAGATCGAGGAGTACTCGGAGACGGCTGTGGTGTTGCACTGGCGCCTCGACAGCGATGCCGATGAGCATCTAATCACGGGCTACTATGCCTACTATCGTCCGTCCTCCTCGGCCGGGGAATATTACAAAGCCACCATCGAAGGTGCTCATGCGAGGAGCTTCCAAATCGCCACCTTGGAGGCCGCAACCATCTACGAATTTAAGCTGCAGTCCTTCAGTGCTGTCTCCGCCTCCGAGTTCAGCGCCCTCAAGCAAGGACGCACGCAGAGACCTAGGGCCAGCACCACGGAGGAGCCAACAATTCAAGGAATCGGCGATCGAGACACAACCAGCCACAACCAGCCCAGCCACAACGAAACAGTCAGCATGAGTCCCATGCTCACGGGCACAATTGGTGGCGGGGCCTTGCTGCTCATTCTGCTGGTTAGCGCCTTCCTGTGCATGTGTCGACGTCGGAGTCCTCGGGGACGGGGCCAAACCCAGAACAAACCGCGCATGGCCGAGCTGCGTGAGGATTTTGTGCCGCTGGGCAGCTGCTCACCGAACAAACAACGCCAGCGCACGAGGCACATTCACATCACTCTGAATCCGCTTGCACAGCAGCAGCAACAGCAGCTAGACGAGAAGAACCCACCTGGCCTCGAGACTGACAACGATATGGCGTACTTTCAGCGACAACCCACCTACGAATACGACCCGGGACTCCGGCGAATGTCATCCTCTTCGCTACGTCGCTCTCAACGCACGCTGGAACGTGCTGGCGGTGCAAATTCCGGCGGCAACAATGGCGGAAACAACAATAATCTCAACCAGTCATCCGAGGCTGGGACGGCGGATGGTCCTTGCATGCAGAGCTCCAGCAAGCCTGGACGAGTCATCATGAAGCGGCCGCGTCTTTCCAGTCGCTCGGAGAACCTCTCCTCCGGCAGCCTGAACAGCGTGGGCGTATAATCTCGTGATCTTTTTAGTCTGTACATCCCTATAACCGATGTATCTAGCTATTCCTCTACCTCTGTTTTATCTCTGACTTAAAATGACAAAACCTTTACAGTTTGTACTTATGCGAATACGACATAGCCTTAAGGTACTTAATTAGATTAGATTTATGCATGCATGATCGTTTAAGAACTTAGCATATTGTATGTCCACCTCTCATTAAGTCTTCCAAATTTCGATACACATAAGATCCAATTCTGTACTGATAGCTTCCTAATGATAATAAACGAATTCTTCTTTAAAATGAAACCTCTTCTACAAAAAATCCTATAATATACATATGTATATATCCACGAAGTTCTGAATTTGCTCCCCAAGAGGCATAATTTTTAAAGAACTTCTAACATAGCTCCACCGACCCAGTACCATACTCATGTATTTTGATGCACTGAACACGAATCCGAGGTCCATTACGTCAGGATTTTTTTCTGACCTCAGCCTATATGGCCGAAAAACGGCGGAGACTTTTTTTTTTAATTTGAAATCAAATTAAGTGCACAGGAGTGACCATACACGGAATAGCTATCGATACGGAAGAAACTCAACTATCGATAGGAATACTTATTTAAATTAAGCCAATAAAGTAGAAAATGTATTCATCAATGGTCTTAAATTATGTGGGCATGGCAAAATATTCTATATAGCTGGGAATATTAGACGTAAGATCAAAATAGAGGAATATGTAAAACAGAACTTGAATTCGTCAGTATATTTACGGTATATTTGTTCAATGAGACGGTATGTTTCGGTATATTTCTGACGGTCGTACGGTATACTTTATTGATAAGTCCGCGGTCACACTGATTCTCAGCTGTCAGCTAATAATTAGGTCGTCGTCGTCAAAATTTCTATTAGTAGCGTTTATTGTACATATTTTGGCTAAAAAAAAGAAACAAACAATTAGTTTAAGCCAAGACGGAGTTGTGCTAGATTAAAAGCCAATGTAGGAAACAGTGCCCAAGCTGCCAAATGCCCAAAGGCTAATGTTCTTATTGTTCTCTTGCAGAGCCAGCAGTAAGGCCTGGCCCAAAACAAAAGAAATAATAAAATTGCAGTTGGATTTGAAGCGGGCCGCAACATGTCAAATCTATCAGTAGGACAGATGATAATGGACGCACAGCGTATGGCCAGCCGTGTCAAAGACTTGGATGCCCTGGGGACGGCTCTGCTGGAGGAGGCGGAGACGAATCATCGCCTGGTAGTGAGCCTAAGGGAATACCAGGACGACATTGAGACCCTCAATCGCATCTCAAACAACAAGACCAACGCGGACATGGTGAATCGCATACAGCAGCAAAACATCAACAGCTCGGAGATACTCAAAGAGAATCGCGAGCTGAAAATCTGCATCGAAGACTACGAGCGGGCCATGGAGCTGATGATGCAAAAGTACCGCGAACACACAGTGACCAAGGTGCTGGACAGTAAAATCAACTTCAAGGAGCTATACAACGAGCGCCTGTGGCAGGTGATCCGAGATCAACGCGAAAAAATCAACGAAATGGCCGCCGTCATGCAGCGGGCGGCCACCGTCGACGATGAGATCGTGCAGCGGGAACTGCAGACCATATCGCAGCTACGAATGGAGAACGAATCATTGCGGGAATTGCTGCAGATCTCCAAGCAATATGGTTCGGCCCAGCGACCCATTCGTGAAAATGACCACCTGCTCGAGGAGAAGTCAGTGCAAACGGACTGCCTGGCAGACGATTCGGCCGATGATCTGTCCTTATCGGGTGCTTCGGTGGAGAATGTAAACAACAATTCGGTCATACAACTGTACAGCAGTCCGGAGCCGGCGAAGAATACATCCAACAATAGCAACAGCTCATTTAACACTGCCCCAGCTCAGAGTCAGCCACAGCTACAGCCTCAGGCACAGGCACAGCCTTCGCCTACAGTAGTGCTGGAAGCCCCAGAGCAACCGGAAACTAATGAGAATAACAACGGACCTGCAGCTAATCCAACCAGTGTGCCAGCCGTAACGACGCCAAATGATATTGGCGAGGAGCAGGCAACTGCATCGGCTGCTGTCGTTGCCACCAGTGCAACATGATAGGTGCTGTATTGTACAGTCCACCACCAGCCTGGTCGTCATCATGTTCGCTCGTCAATCTCCATTGTTACTTCATACGCTATTCATTTCGGTCGCTGTGCTGCTGTTGCATCTTATGTACCCCACACCTACGCCCCCACACACCCCCGCCCATTCACACCAGCTCACACATGCAGTATATATACAAATATGTATGGGATAACACCTGCATTAGCTCTTAGCGATTGATAATCTCTAAGTATTTATACAAACATATTACAAAATAATGTCTATACACGAATGTAAACAAAGCAAACATGAAGTTCATCATTAAAATAACAACAAGAACACACCATACTCGTACTCACACAAACGAATGTACTCTGTCGATTTTATGATTTCGAAAATAAATTCCATTACAACTGAAGGATATGCCCAAGAAGTGGCATGGATCAATATCATATTGAATGAAATAAGTTGTCTACACCACCCTGAAAAATGTTTCCTTAACTTTTACTGAAAAATCAATCTATTGAAGATACAATTAAAACCCATAACTCATTGAAACTGAAGAATATATTACCCAGATAAAGGAGTGTTCTCCTTCAGTCTAAAGCAGTTGATTCCTATGGGTTGATGATAGATGATGATCCAAAGAATAATATAAAAGGTTAATCAATATGATATTATCTATAAGAACAATTTTCAACTGGCTTCTCCATCCCTTTGAATCCAAAAATCTCTCATTTTCCATTATAACCCTACAAATTTCTCTCATAAGCTCGCTGCGTCTGTCTATGCCACCGCCGCTCTCTTGAGGAGAAGAGTGTGTTTTGTGTGCCGGTGGCAGATACTTTTGGGCTCTCCGATGGTTAGTTGAAGCGTTCAGAAATTATTTAAATTTAGTTTCTCGTCGATTTTCAAAACGTTCGCATCGAAAAAAGTGCGAAGGAGCCTCTCCGCGTCGGTTTGACTGGGCCACCGCGATTTGAAGCAGTGTGAAAGGGATGGGATGCTATCTGTATAAGTATTTCGAGTGCTCGGGCGATCGGCGGTTATATTAAAGATATCCCACAGCATATATGTGGATAAATATGTGTATACGTGTGGTGTGGTGTGCGCGCCTGTCTAAGTGAGTCAAGTGAACAAAATCCATTTGGAGAATCCATTGCGTGAATTCAATTGAAATTATTGTAAACAAATATTCTGTAATCTGTGGAAAGCGAAAAAAGCATTTGAGATCCACGGAGGAGATTTATGGGAAGTGCGCTGCTATTTAAGAAAAAGAACGTGTTCTATTTTTAAAACACAGCTAATTTTTGTGGTCGTTAATTTTTGTATTAAGTGAATATTCCAAAATTAAATCAAACAAAACGTGAGCGAAAACCCAGGGCCAAGTGTCCGCGCAAAGAAAGTCTACCAGGATCGCCCTGGATCTGCGCGATGAGAGATCTCTCCTAAATATATGCATATAAGTTCCATATCCATCGTGTAATAATTATCAGCTGGTAAATGCTACTAAATAATCGGATGCAAAACGCACATCGTCTGGGGCGATTACGCAACGTATGTATCTAGAATCTAGAATCGTTTTTGGTGAATGAAAAATTCCGCACACCTTACGAACGGACACCGTCATCTATTGGTGGAGAAGGAGGAGTAGGAGCAGTTGCCTCAGATGCTGCCTCCTTCCCTAACGTCCAGCCTCAAACCTTTCTAAATGCGGAAATATTTTGTGTAAGTGAAAAAACGTTTTGAATTGTGTTCACAAATTTTGCACGTCCCGTGTCGTCGAACGCAGAATGTCGCACAGAACGACAGATGAAAATAGGTTAAAACGGTGATAATTATTTATAAACGCGCTAGGGATTTGCAACAGGGCCAATTCTCCTAACGGCACTCAGCACGGTACGTACAAGGAAAAGAGAGACTCCGCTCTCTGTCTCTCTCTTTTGGGAGTGAGTAAAAGCTCTTAACTTTTGAGGTTGTTCTCTTGAGACTAGCGTTCATATTTTGTTTGGATCGTTTTTTTTTTTGTCAGAAAACATGCGCAGCCGGTAGAATTTTTCCTGCGCCATTTCCACCTGTGGTCGTTTATTTCCTCAGCTCTCTCCCTGCCGCTCTGAGAGAAAACTTTGATGGCTCTGAAAATATATAAATATATACATGGATGGATACTTATATGTTATTGTTTATATTTACAATTTCAATTCTTAATATGAATACTCGCAAAAGGAAATTTTGGAGGAAACGAAAGAGACGTGGAAATACTCTTCTATGCTTTGGAAATAACTGGAGTTCTTTATTAATCATTACTGTTAGATCGGCATCTTTTCAATGGCGCCATCTGGTAGAAGGCTTAGATACTGATAGATTCGATAAAGTTTGATATTTTCCGCTACATCCGCGGTGAAAAAACATTTCATTTAAAAAGCATACATTTCGTTAATTTTTTGAATGTTTATTAGAGAACCTCCCAACAAGAAGAATTTCTTCGTAATAGGAAATTATTCGAAACCCATTAAAAAATCATCAAATCATGTCACTGCATGCCTTCAAATGACATTAATTATTTTGAACTATTAAATTTAAAAAAACAAGAGACCCATTAGTTTTTAATCTAATAGATCTCTTGTTTTATAGATTTAATTTCTGCTCTGAAACCAATAGTTAAGTTGGCCCCTGAATATGTTCTACTTTTTGATGTACTACAACATTCTTTTGTTGACTTGGATAGATGCCAGACATTCCACCATTGTGTTCAGAATCGGTCAATAGACAAAATACTGATGGTGCGATTAATAGATACATATATGTGAATATACATTAGGTACATATACCTAAATACTTGGGGCTGTGCAGTAACAAGATATAATCTCTTTAGTTTCGTTGAAATTTGCAGGAAAAGAAAAGCTGACAAGTTGTACAAGAACAGATGCATCATCTGTATCCATCGCTGAAAGGCGATCAGCTATGCCCACTCGGCTTCCATCCCCAGACTCGTTATCCCACACGATGTAAGCGTTGCTTTCGGGATTACAAGGAGCATGGAGCCCGTAGACCCGGCGAAGAAGTGGCCGCTTCATCGCCAAATCTCTCCGATGGCCAGAGTTCGCGGTGAGTCTTTTTTTAATATTATCATTTTTTGGAAACTATTAATGGTTTCTGATGTTTTTTTAGGCCTACTTCCCGAACATGGACTTCGACGCAGAATCTGAGCGTCAATTCAAACAATAGCAATGATATAGGTACGATTGGAGCCGGTCCATAGATCTTTTTACATCTTGTTTTAAAGTAGAATTGTGTTCATAACTAGTGCATCACATAGAACTGTTTTCTTGGGATTAATGGCATTCCTTAGGCTGATTAATTAATAATTAGACTTAGAGTTGGGTGTGTTCTTTCGGCAAACTACCGACCGAAGTTTTCAAGAACATTAACAGAGTATTGTGTACTATTGATTATGTAAATGTTAAATGTATGAGCATTTGGTGTACTCAAATTAACTTTCTGTAACCTCTTGGTAAAACTTATCTGAATAGATCAATCCAGTTTTTTTTAATAGTATCCCATAAAAGATTTATATAGTTTTATTTTTAGCTGATTTCTCACACGTCTAATTAATGTATTGCATAGTTTACATGCTCTTTTTCTTTCGATATAATGAAAAATATCTTCGACAACCGGCTATGGTATAGTCTCATATAATGTCAATATCACCTTTGCACTATTTTTTGTAAAGATATTAGATAAAGCTAGTCAGACTTTGAGAAATCGGTTTGTTTTAACTAACCCAAGAAGGTATTCTTTTATCGAATCGCTGTTACATTGAAATAAGTATGAACTACTAAGTGTTTTAAGGCTTTTAAAATCAAATGTTACCACACCGTTAATAAATGTGTTTGTCTACGTATCTCTTTCACACTCTCACGTTCTACGCTTGCACCAAAAAAAAATCACAAAAACAACTGCACCTGCAACTGTGCCGTCTCTATCGCTCTCTTTCTGTCTCTCAACACTAATCTCTGCATAAACCGTTAATATGTTAACTACTACCATCATCAAAACGTGATCTCTCCCGCTGATTCTCCGATGCACGTTTGTCACGATCGATCACACACTGTGTGGACTATGTTCGTCCTGCTCACACTATGTGGACTACATATGTATGTTTGTCCTGCTCATATGCTGAACGTGCTGAAAACTGCAACTTGCTCTTGCATGCACTTTGCCCACGATGCTTTTACTGAACCTAGTTGTTCACTTCAATGTAGAGTTAAAGAAGCGTCCACAGTCCTGGGCCTCCACGCCGGACATTGATGATCCGGCGCAGGAGTCCGCTCGCCGACCATCGACAACGGTGAGCAGCCTTCGAGCAACCGATGATCACAATGTGGCTGTCACGGTCAAGCTGCCGGTGGCGCCGCGACGTCACACAACCGCCTTGGACATCAAGGAGGTGAGTGAAGAATAAGTAATGCAACTAAGATGATTTGTAATCTATTCCAAAGCATTCTTTACAGATGGAACAAGCTCTCACACCATCATCAACCCGTGTAACATCCTCACCCAGTAAAACTTCAAGTATTCCAGATGAGTTAGTCATCCTATCGACAGACAGTCTAGCCGAGCGTGTCCGCAAAATGAATCTTCTCAAGAAGCAGCGCAGCCTGAACTCGCGGGAAAACAGTCGCGAACGATCCGTACCCAGGAGAGAAGAGTGAGTGGATCTTAACCGCTAGATACGATACCCATAGATCATCTCTGATTGATGACAAATCTCTTTCAGGGACAGTGATTCAGCGGCGGCAGCAGCTCCGGCAGTTCCGGATCGACCAGAGCGTAGCAAGTCTGGAAATTCCTTGAACCAGAATCCTCCCCAGGCGGAACTGAAACGCGCCTCGCTTCCGCCCAAAAAAGTGGCGGCCACACCAACAATCACAGCCACAAATAGCAGCAGTGGTGGTGTTACAAGCACCACAAAAGCCACATCTGTAGTCTCCAGCGAGATTAAGGCCTCTTCTTCCAGCTCCTCCACGAGCTCCAGTTCTACTCGTCGCAAGGAGGCGGATGCAGTGCAGAGCAGCAAAGAAATCAAAAGACAAACCGTACCCAGTGCATCCACATCTCACTCCACGAGCAGCAGTAACAGCACTACCACCAAGGATTCGGTGGCACTGCAGGAGCAAATGAAAACACTCCGAACCGAGCTGGATACCATGAAGACCCGCGCCGAACGAGCAGAGAGGGATAAGAGCGACATTCTACTGAGACGTCTTGCCTCCATGGACACGTCATCGAACCGAACTGCAGCCTCGGAAGCCCTCAATCTCCAGCAGAAATTGAATGACATGAAGGAGCAGCTGGACCGTGTCACCGAGGACAAGCGAAAGCTGAATCTTCGCATGAAGGAGCTGGAGAACCGCG